AACAAAGAACATGTAGCTGCAGGATCCAAGTTTCCACATGAGGACCAAAAGCAACTCTTTTGAATCTGTACATGCCCAACAAATCGCTTTCCACTCCAGATTCATTGAGTAAACTGATTGGAGAACATGTGTCATGGGCTCTTTGTGGAAGGTATTAGTGCAATTGGTTTCTTAGGTAACCTTTGTAATCACAATCTAGAATTCTGGACAGAATGGAGGAATCACAGGACAATCTCATTATTACAAGAATGGTTCATAATGGCAATAGGGTTTCAGTACTATAGTCATACTTAATACATTGATCCTAAATCATTGTTTATTTTAGAATTATCCTAAATGCATGCAAGAATACACATGCAAAATTAGCGATCTACAATTTTACAATACATTAACAGGAAGATTAGTATATGTTGTTTTTGATTTAAGTAGTTTATTTGAAAAACACTCAGATGTTTCTACTTTGAAACCGCTTTTGGGGTTTGTGCTTGAGGTGGAAAAAAATGAAACTTTGATTTTGTGTTTTGCTGATTAGATACTGTAAGTTTGTTGTTGTTATAGATATGATCAGTACATATTGCTATATAAAAGTAGAGCTTGTACATTATTATCTTATTCTAAAGGACTACCAAAAGGAGTCAGCAGTCAATGCTTTTTTTTCTTCTAACCGTACACTTTTTCCTCTTCCCCTTTGCCTTCCTTATTTTTCCATTATTTTCTTTTTATTTCTCTATTTTATATTTTGATAAACTAATAAAAATATAACATATAATAGTCTGTTTTATTAATGGGAAAGAAAAACTATTTCCTTTGGATTATAATCTGGTGCTTGCTCACAGACAACGTTCAAAATAAACCACTAGCAAAAGCAGTGAGTAACTGGCATAAGCACTTGATCCAGATTGTATAACCAAGCTCAAGATACCGCCCTTTAGTCATGCACACCGTCTCCAGTCCAAACTTCGTTTTTATACAGCTCAGAGCCCACATTGGATTGGACCCCCCAAAATCCCACAAAGTATACTAAGTCTTTATACAGATTTATTTTAGGAGCTGAGCAGGATTGGCCTTGATTAGTATTTCTAAGTCTGTTTTCTAGTCTAGGAAGTTAAAAAAAAAAAAAAGACAGAAGAAAATACAAAAGGCAAACCTCATTCATTACACAAAATTGAATGGATGCAATCAGCAAGAATGGAATTCATCTCCCCCACCCCATCCCGAAATGATTCTTATACATAGACGTGGGATAATTATCACACTGCCTAGCCACCTATGGCTGCTCAATATATTTTAAGTTTGCCACAAGAAGGTTGCCTGTTATGTTCAGCACGTTTTCATTAAGCAGACTCAATGACTAAGCAAACATTAATTTGACGTCAGGAAAGGCATTATTAAGGAATCAGTTGAGGAACACTTCCTTCTCTATGCCAGGACATACTGTGATCTACCCTTCAAGCATCCATTCTTGATCAATTTTCAAAGGAAAATTGAGCAATAAGCCACCAAATTAACTGGAAAACATTACTTGTGACTCTGGCATCTTGAACAGGGATGTTTCTTAGACCACCCTTACATATATTCATTAGATCACAGCCCCCAGCAAGTTTTTACTATCAGCAGCAAGCGTTTTATGAATGGCCTTGTAAATAACACTTCCTGCATCTTATCACTTCTTACTCAACCCACCTGCAACTACACGGGCACACATTTCATGCTCAGGCTAACATTTCCGGCTGCTAATGTAATGAATAGTAATAAAAGATTTTTAAAAAGGAATTGCGATCCAAGGGCTTCAGAATTCACTTGTCAAGACTAAAGCAGGGGTGGCCCTTCAGTGAAATAGCTGCTCCAACTACTATTCCAGTACAAATAGAACTGGGGCCCTCCACTACCACCTGCAGCCCCCCCTCTGTTTATTACCTCAGCAATTGATTCATTGGGCCCAGAGGGGCATGTCATGCTGAAGGTGTCTGTGACATTTGCCTGCACAGGTAGCTGCTATGGCCACGATGCCATAGTTAGTGCTCCAAGGACTTCCTTTATAGGTTAGCTGGTAAGATCTCTTGGGTCATCCCAGTAAGCTGCCTTACTTTCTTCTGCAGCAATACGTTTAAAAGGCTACCGCCCTCTGCACATTTCTCTCTTCTTGATTTGCTGTTGGATTTTTCTTACCCTGAGTAATTTTATATAACTCAAGTGAAATTTTCTAAATACTGCAGTGGAAGAACCACCAGGGGCTTCTAAAGAGTTCCTATGGTTAATATCAGTGGTGAAATATAAAATTTGTTACTACTGGTTCTGTGGGCGTGGCTTGTGTGTGTGTGGGGGGTTAATGTGACTGGGTGGGTGTGGCCAACTTTTTTTTTTTTCTTTTAAAAGCATTTTTCTACAACCTTAAGAGGTTGTAGAAAAAATGCTTTTAAAAGACTCTGATGATCAGGCAACTCAGCTGGGATCGCCAGAGGCTTTTAAAGGCATTTTTTTCCTACAACTTCTTCGCTGAAGAGGTTGGAGAAAAAAATGCTTCTAAAAGCCTCTGACGACCCAGCTGAGCCGCGAGATCATCAGAGGCTTTTTTTTTCTTTTAAAAGCATTTTTTCAGCTGAAGAGGTTGTAGAAAAAATGCTTTTAAAAGTAAAAAAAAAAGTATCTGATGATCGCGTGGCTCAGCTGGACATGTGGGGGGGGGAGTTTAGGGTTAGGGTTAGGGGCAGGGATTTTTGCTACCGGTTCTCCGAACCACCCGCCACCATTGCTACTGGATCAGGCGATCCGGTCCAAACCGGGAGCATTTCACCCCTAGTTAATATTTTTAAAAATTGCCCTTAAATAGCTGAGTAGAATTGTAACTGACTTCCATATTATTTAGAAACAGAGTGCATTTTCTGAATATGCACTTCACTATATCCTATCCATGTCACAACCCTTATCCAACTATTTAAAGGAGTATCACTTTGACATACTGTAGACACTGATTTATTTCTAGCCTATCACAGCCTGTTCCCTTTGTCATAGGAGTAACTTTTATCACTTTATTTAAACAAACACATTTTTAAAAATAATGCTAACATCCAGTCTGGCTTCTTTTGTTATATTGTCATTAGTATATAAAACACAATTTAAATGATTTTTTTTGCAAGCACTCACCTTTATAATACTAATGTTTAAACTTTTTGGTCATGTTCATTAATTCTATTATAGTAAAATAAAATGAGAAAGGGTTTTTTCACATTTGTAAAGTTGGTTATAGAAGTACACAAGAATAATGCTATAACATACTCATTTAACTGATGTTTAATTGTTCCTTTAATATTTAAGAAAATGTAGTTTTAAATAATACAAAATTTGCTGATAACCAAGAGAAAAAAGTGATGATACCTACAAAGGGAAATATGCACAGAACAATGACAAATTTCTTTGTCTGACATTTTAAAAAGCTTCTTTTAAAAAGTCAGCATAATAGCACAAAAAGATTTAACTTTCTGAAGGCTATATTACTCCAGCCTTTAAAAAGATGTTCTCACAGTAAAAAGAAAAAGAAAAGACAAAAATATGCTGGAAAAACAAATGAGGATTTTCAGAGAATTTCTTGAGTACATAAACTTGTGCAATCATTTGTCAGTGATTTCATAAGTTTTCATTTGGAAACACTTAGTATCTGAACATAGCACTAGCCATCAATCCAGGAACAAATGCACTGGAATAGAAGAAATGCAACAAGACAGCTACACTGGAAAGTCAACAGTTTTTTAGAAAAAGAGTGAACATGAAAGGGCTCCCCTCTAATTCTCCAAATCAAGTGTACGGTCAGATCTAACTATACAGCTCTACATCAGTTTCTAAAACTTAACAAAAAAAACACTGGCCAATACAGTCTGCCCTAGGTCATAAGGCAGAGGTTTTAAAACTTTTTCAGGCTGTAAAATGGTTAAGGAAAAAATTCCCGGAACTAAAAAAGAATTCCCATAACCCCTGATCCAGAAGCAAAGTTTTAACCAGAAAATATTGACTGCATTCAAATGAATCTCCCCCACCCCACCCCCGCAATTTTTCATGGAGCTCCACAAAGTTCTCCAAGGACTCTGGGACTCCAGGAAGGCAGTTTGAAACACCTCCGCTACAAGGTACGATTTGATGACTTAATCAGTTTATGGGTGAAGGCAGTATCAAGTGCACAGATCTCTCAGCTGCTCTCCCCATGACAGCATTTCGCAACTCAACGTGCCTCTCCAAAGAGCAGAAACGGCGCTAGTTTCCTGTTCTTATAGAGATCTTGTCGCCTTCGGCTTTCCGAAAATAATCATCACTCCTGTTTAGTCTGGATCTTTGTGCATTAGTTTTCAGAGCCCACCACGGGGCCATGACGGAAACAGGCCTCTCTCTGTTTTAGCGCCAAGGTGGGAGCCCTTCTCTCCAGAAAACACGGTCGGGGGTGAGGGGTGAGGTTGATTTAATCATAATCGAACTCTATCTTGGGGATTCCCATCTCTGTCTTAAGCGACGGTCTTAGACAATCGGCCAACTTCCTGACTGCAGAGATCGATTAGGTTTCAGGTTGGGATCCAGGCAACAGAGCGGGAGAAGCTGCTTTCTCGTGTGAAAACTGAAAAAAGCCCAAACCTCGCTGCCTGCCCTTTGAGAAGAAAGAGAAAGCTGCTGTCCCAGACACGTGTTGTTGGATCCCTCCCCCGCGTCCCCAGTTGATTACACGCCGATGGGTCCACTGGTGGGGAAGCGAAAAAGGAAAGAAAAGAAAAGCCCCTTGGGGAGATGGATCGCAGCTTTTAAGATTCCGCGTCCCCCCCCCCTCTGTTCAAAAAATCTCGCCGAAGTGACTCCGGCTCAGGATCCCAGCCGATCGACTGACTGCCTCTTACCTGCTCAGCCCGGGCAAGGGGAGAAGCGCGAGGCTGACGGCTCCCTCCCTGGCGGGGAGTCCCCGGGGCACCTTCCTTTCACTTCTCCCGCTCCTCTTCCCAGCGGGGCCGCCGGGTGAAACAGCTTTTTAACTCTCGCCGCCGTGACTGCCGGCGGCAACAGAGGAGGCGGAGGAGAAGAAGGAGGAGACTCGCGCGTGGAGAACATAGATTATCTCTGGTTGCTCGACCAACCCAGGATGACAGAGGTCAATCGAGGAGTCTCTGCCTGCCTCCCAAGGTGCCTTGTTTGCCGAAGGGTTGACCCTCTTTCCCGAAGATCGCGTGATCAAGGAGTAAAGGTGCGCTTGGGCGACTTGATTTGGTTCGTTTTAGATCAAGATCTATCAGGGATCTGCTTTCTTATTTCCAAGGTCTTGGTTCCTGCTGAGGCGATTGGTGTTACACCTTATTTTTCAGGCTCCAGGTGGGTCTAAATGGATATGTTGGTTGTATTTTTCTTCTGAGCCTTCTGTCACTTTCATTTAGGAGGAGGTCATGAACTATTACTCACTTTCTAGTTTCTTCACCAATAAAAGTTAGAAATGAATCATCTAGAATCTTTTTTTTTTTTTAATTGGAGAGAGTTGGGTTGTGCTTGAATTCACCTGTGCTTGAATTGATACAGCCCAAACATACCTCTGGTGTTAGTCGTAAAAACTGAGAAAAACCCCACATTTTTGTTTTAATGGTTTTCAGAGTTGAAACCTGCAGTCACCTGTACTTTCACTTCGTGGTAACCATAAACCAGAGATTAATAGCTTAATGTGGCTTTGAAGCTGCCTGATTCAAAGTTGACTCTGGACTCTTAACTTCCCACCTCAGATGTTAAATGCAAGAACCAGGCCACCATTATAACAGGCCAAAAACCATCCACTGTATTTCACACCTAATGTCAAACGAGGCCTAAGACATTTCTTTTAATTAGTTGTCGACTTTTTTTTACAGTGCCTTCTAAGGTTAGAGAACAGACCCCTGTACTTTTACAAAAGGAACTGCAACTACAGCCCCCTTGATGTTGAGTTGATAGTTTTGGGATTAGCTGATGCTTTGTGTGTTGCTCCCAAACTTCCAGCTGTGGATTACATTCACAATCTGGGTGAAATTCTTCATGTTTTATTATTGTAGCTAAGTATTTCCTTGATTGGGAATGCAGAGATTATTTTGCTGTGTGAACTCAAACTGGGAGGCCTGGGCCAGAAGTTTGATCAGCTTTCCAGCCTTGGCATGTTGCATGAGGAATGATCAGAGATAGAGATGGCATCATAGCTTTCTCACACAATGTACATGCAGATTATACTGCAAGCAGAAACAGATTATTTTCAAATACGAACATCTGAAAATTTCCTAGAAACTGGAAGCAGAATAGGTTATATAAAAACTGGCCTTTACCCTTCAGTAAGAAAATGCTTTTGTAGTCAGTTTAATCAATCCAGAATAATTACTACCTCCTGTTTCTGACTGACAACGTGGCATAAAATCCCCCTCTTTAGCAGATCCTGAAAAGGTTTTACATTCAGTCCTTGTTTAGCATCTTCCTTTGATTAGCAACCATTTGCAAATATGACGGTAATAAATGGTGATTTTAAAAAATAAACCAACGGACACATTTATGACCAAATTTCATGTGCTTTGCAAAACACACTGGAGTGAAAGTAATGTTGACATAGCTACAAGAGAACTTCATTTGAATGAACAGGCAGTAAACTATTACTCTTTCAATCTCTCTCTGTCACGGCACATTCCCTTAGGATCATTTTGCCTAACAGTCTGGTTGTTGGAATGGCGTGCAGTCATTAAATGAGAAGTGGATGTAAAATGTCTTATTTTAGCCACTGACTGTATAACAGTGTGTGTGTGTGCAAAATATGGTTAACATTAATTCGCACTAAGTATCACTGAATATTTTAAAAATTAACAATCAAAATGCACAGAGAAATAACATCAACAAGAAAGCAGTTTGACAGGCAAACTGACAGGCAACACCTGCCACCTAGACCCATATTAATTATTTGGCAGGGAAGTTAATCACCTTTTTAAAGCATCAAATATTAAATCTTGCTAAATACAAAACAATTGTTTCTTGATAAATACTCAGTTTTAAAAGAGTAAACAATATAAATCCTTCCTTTCCAACACCTCTCTATAAGAGGGAGGGAAATTATACATTTGGCTTCCTTTGCTACTCAATCCTTAGGTTTCCTGGCACAGGATTAAGACTGGAAATTGGATTCTTGTGGGCACATTTGGATGTCCTGAAGATTTATGTCTGTCTTGAGGTCATGTGAGGTAAGAAGCTAGAAATCAGTTAGTCTGATGTGTGAGTTTACTGAAATTTCTGCAATGTATGCAGATATCTAATATCCCCAAAAAACAAACTCCAGAGATAACTGGTTGCTGTACTGATCTTTTCAGCCTTGGTTTAATACTCCTTTTATCTCTAGCTAGTTTAAGTAATTGTTATTTATTCCATTGGCTGATCAGCCAGTGGGTTATCTTGCTAGTGAGAAAAAGAGGATAATCTAATCCATGGCCATTGAACTGTAAATGATACTGACTTTCTGTCTTTTTCCCCCTGAAAAATCTATAAAAGTACAGGTAATCCTCGACTTACAACAGTTTGTTTAGTGACCATTCAAAGTTACAATGGCTACCTGTATTCTGTTCCTGAACTAAGGATGTAGCCTAACCTTTATTATTGGTCTTCAAGTACAATGCTTTGGAATTCATTCTTCAGCTAGCAATAATTATCTGAATGATCAAAGGTAGAAAAACCAGATATTACCTTTATACAGGCATGCCCTAACCGCACATATTTGGCAACCAAGAAGACGGCTCCAAGAATAAGATAAATCCAGATCAACAAATGCTATTAGGCAATTTAGGGGAAAGGGCAGTGCTGATCCAAGCAGTAATTTCACAGGATTCAGACTACAGCCATAGGAGATTGAAAGCTGAAGACAAATAGAGTTGTCCAAATCTTTACTGAAATTTTATACTTCAAGTTCCACAGAAGGAAGCATTATTTTGAAGGATCCAAAATAATGGTCCTGTTATAGGAAGAGAGTCTGGTTGATAGTAAGTTTCACTTCGTAAGAGTGTGGGAGTTCAATCACTGTATAGATCTGAGGGAGGTGATATAGGCTCCTCTCCTCATGGTGGAGTGAAGCAATAACTAAACAATTACCTGATGCTTAAACTAAATTCCAGTTTTTTTCTCTTTCCCTCCCACTCTCTCTTTCTCTCTGGGTGTGTGTACATGCTCAGTAGCTTTATTGATTAGTCTATTAATTCCAAGGATGTTATAGAGGAACAGATTGATCTATAATCTTATTTATATAATAGGAAGCATCCTTCTTCTTCTTCCTAGTGTATTCCTGCAGGTGCAGGATCCACTTTTCGGATCATTGAACGCCACTTTGCACGGTTAGCTGAGTCTCCAGGGCCCAGGCCTGCGGCTTGCATATCTTCATTGATGGTGTCTTGCCATCTCTGCTTTGGACACCCACGAGGTGTCCGGCCATTGCCTTTTAGTTAGTAGGCAGTCTTGGCAACAGTGGAAGGTGCTGCTCTCAGGACACGTGCATATCAGCAGAGCCGGCCTTCTCTCATCTCATAATAGGTAGCATCCTATTTGCAATGAATGTTGCAATGCAAGCCAATCCATTGATCCTTTAATAAGGATTTTTATTGAATTAATTGAATTCACCAAAAGTGATAAGTCATTAGCCATAGTTTACACATGATAGCTGGCCTCCCAAAGTAAGCTAAAATCAAATAAATCACATCCTGTGATAGAATTATATGTTTATTGTATTGTATTATTGTATTATTGTATAAGGGAATAATTTAGTGCAGTGATGGCTAACCTTTTTGCCATCGCGTGCAGGAGAGGAGGGGGAGGGGAAGGGTCGTGCACACACATGCCCACGCGCATGCGTGCGCAACCCCCCTCCTCCCCCGCTCCTGGCACATGATGGCCTGGTAGGCCCGTTTTCTGTCTTACCTGACTCAAGATGCTCTCTATTTATCTGGGAAGGGTGAAAACAGCCTTTCCCACTCCCTCGGAGGCCTGAAACGGCCCATTTTCCAACTCCCGGTGGGACAGGAAATGACATTTTTTGCTGTCCCCAGCCTCCATGGGAAATGGAGCCTTTCAGGTCTCCTAGGGAGTGGGAAAGGCTGTTTTCACCCTTCCCAGATAAATAGAGAGGATCTGGAACCAGATAAGAAAGAAAAACGGGCCTTCCCCACTCCCCCAGGCCCTCCAGAGGCAGGAAACAGCCGGTTTCCCTACTTCTGGTGGGCCCAGAAGGCCCGAAAATCAGCTGGTTGGCACATGCATGCGCCCCAGAGCTGAGCTGGCGTGCCCACTAATATGGCTCCGCGTGCCACCTGTGGCACGCATGCCATAGGTTCGCCATCATGGATTTAGTGTATTTGAGCATACTTCTTTAGATGTGAAATGCTGTGATAGTTAGCAGTGAAAAACTTCACACAGTCACAAACCTTTACCTTCTGTACCATGTTGTTATGGGCAAACACAGCATATGTCCAATTTTTACAATAACAGTATTCTTCTGCTTTGTGATCAGATGGCACTATGCAATGAGCAATCTTCTTGCATAAGTTAATCAGATTGGTGTCTGTGCATCTCCTTTTATGATTAGAAAACACAAACCCTGTATTATAGCATTTGGGGCTAATTTTTAAAATATCTTTATGATTTTTGTTCTTAAATATCATTAAGCAGCTTGGGAGTCTGACACGGGTGAAATGCTACCAGTCTGGACCGGTTCGCCTGAACCGGTAATAATAAAAGCTACCGGTTCAGGTGAATTCATAGTAAAAAAAATGCTACCGGTTCAGATGAACCGGTATTTCCAATGATCAGCTGTGCCTCGTGATTTATATTTGCTAGAAAGCAGAAAACCCTACTTTCTAGCGAAACTAAATCGCGCGGCAGTTGTTCCCCCCTCCTCGCTGTTCTATTTACCTTAGAAAAGCCTTATTAAGCCTCCTTTTTTAGTGCTGTGTGGTAGTGCCTGCGGTGCACCTGCGCATTTGGCATGCACTGTGCATGCACACATGCAGCGAACCAGTAGCGAAGCGAACCGGAGTAGACTTCGGAGCATTTCACCACTGGTCTGACAAATCTGACGAAATGAAAAATCTGTTTTTCATGTGGACCAAGAGCGCTCTCTAAACCATCTGGCATGTAGATTTCATGAAAAAAAGGCATGCATTTACTGTGGTGGAAGGGCTCAGAAGCCCAGAGTTAACCAGAGAAGGTTGACAGGACTAATTTTAGCAAATATCTTTTATTAGAGAACTCTTGGAAGAAGGGGTATACTGGTGGGCTTTTATTTTCACCCCCAGATGGTGATGAATGATTTGGATTCCAGGTTTCAAAACAACTTCCTTAAGGATTGTGTTGCTCCTTTTCTTAAAAGTGTGCCATTGTATAATCGAACTAAGGAATATCGCTGCATATAGCAGATCTTCTCTATGATGGCTAATTGATTTTATTTCTCTCCATCCCCTCAATCAATTGCACTTACTTATTATAAACAATTCATAATAAACAATCGGTGCATTTCAGAAAACCATTCTGGTGTTCTGATGGCAAAAACCAGTAAGTAGATTTAAGGTTTAAGTTTCCTTCCCTTTTTTGTTTTGATTGATTCTGTGCCATTTTAGTGACCACTTAGATCAGTGGTTCTCAACCTGTGGGTCGGGACCCCTTTGGGGGTCGAATGACTCTTTCACAGGGGTCACCTAAGACCATCGGAAGACACATATTTTCAATGGTTTTAGGAATAATTTTATGGTTGGGGGTCACCACAACATGAGGAACTGTATTAAAGGGTCGTGGTATTAGGAAGGTTGAGAACCACTGACTTAGATAAATCTTCTACAGGTCCTTTTTCATTCAGAGAACATTTTTAAAAAGGCTGGGTTTGCTTTCCTAGGCAATGAGTCTCAGAATGTTTCTTTGTTTTTCCTGTTTGCAGCCAAGAACAGTAATTAGATATGCAACTGATAATGCCCCTGGATGCATCTGGGCTAAATTAACTAAAAATCCTGCATCTGAGTTGCTTTTTCAGCCGTCAAAAATGTATCAAGCTCTCAGGCCATTTCCTAATTTGCTGCTCTGGCCCTTAATCTCATCTAAGGGCAGTCACTACAGAGAGATAGAATTCAGAAGTACAGGTAGTCCCTAGGTTATAACCATTCCCTCAGCAACCCTGTTAAACGTTACAACAGCACTGAGTGAGAGGGATTTATGATGGACCCAATGTTCCTGCCATTGCGACATCCCCACAGTCCTGTGATTGCGATTTCCAACTTTTCCCATGCGCTTCCCACAGGAAAGACAACAGCAAGGGTGTCAAACTCATGTCGTCACGGTGTCATCACATGATGTATCATGAATTTTTTTCCCCTTTGCTAAACCAGGCATGGGTGTTACAGTGGTGGGTTGCCCCCCGGTTCGCACCGGTTCTATAGAACCGGTAGTAAAACCAGCAGGAGGCTTTGCCCGATCCTGACATCATAAAAACGCTTCTGCGCATGTGCAGAAGAGCATGTGGGCGAGCGGCCCCATTGCAAACCGGTAGTAAAGGTAAGTAGAATCCACCCCTGGGGCGTGGCCAGTGCATGATGGATCCGGCCTGCGGGCCGCAAGTTTGGCAGCCCTGGTCAACAGAGTAGCCAGCAGAAGATGGAAGTTGTATTCATGTGAGGTCCTCACTTAATGACTTGCACAGTCTTGGTTTAATGACAACAGGGACTGCTGGAATCGCCACCGTTAAGCGATGCAGTCACATGTCACGGTTTATGACCACATCACTTAGCAGCAAAGTTCAAGTCCCATTTTGTTGTCTTTGTTGTAACTTGAGGACTACCTGTGGTTTGTTAGGCATTAGACATAGCAATATTGTAACCACATAAGGTCACACACAAAAAGTAAGTCTGCACTGATTCGTGTGAAATGATGAGGTGATTTTTTAACTCATGTAAGTGATATATAGGAGAGTCAGTGAGGTGTAGCGGTTAAGGTGCCAGATAGAAATTGGGAGAAAGTGAGTTTTTGTCCCATGTTAGTCACAAAGCCAGTTGGGCCTTGAAAGTGACCTTGAGCCAGTCACTTCCTTTTAGCCTTAGAAAGAAGGAAGCAGCGGAAAACCACTTCTGAAAAATCTTGCTAAGAAAACTGCAGGGACTTCTCCAAGACAGTTGCCAGGAGCCGTCACTGATTCAAAGGGACAAAAGAAAAAAAAAGATATTCAAACTGCCCACATGTGCATTTCCCCCCCTGATAAATTAAATCTCTGTGACCAATTCATGATGTTAGCATTGTGATTCATCTAAGTCAGGCAAACGTCTTGGAGAAGAGAGTTTGTGGTCTGGGCATAGGCTCCTTTTTTATTTAGGACTGTGCATCTATTTCACATGTGACACTTAGTCACAGTGGGGCTTGCCTTTGTGCAAAGTGTAGCCCATACAGACCGCAAACATTGTAAAATCTTTTTTTAAAAAGCGTTTGTGTATCTCAAGAAGGATTTCAGCAAATATGCTACTGGATCAAAAACAAACCATTTGTGTGAGTATTACAAGTAACCGTTGTGTTATGACAGCAATTAGGATGGGATTGCTGTTGCTAGGTGATACGGTCATATAAGGCATGAGGTCATCAATTAGCAATCCCAGGCAGTCCGGTAACCATGCTAACCCCAAAACTGGCAGATCTTTAAACAGGAAGAGAGCTGGAGTCGCAGGTAAGAAGTGTGGGGATGTTGCCTGCGGGGAGGGGGTGGGGAGGCTACAGAGGAGCCAATGCAGGCCCTGTACAATTTGCATTGGAGGTTGAGGGAACTGGGAACACTGGTGCAGGCCACATGCAAGTTAGGGAGTTCGTGCTGCAGGAGGGAGTTTCTATGCGCTTACCAGGGAGGTCAACCAAGACAAATTATGGACAAGTCATTTCCAGCAGAGGATCTTTAACAATAACAGAGTTTTAAAATTTAACTTGAAATAGCCCATCAAGAGGTTCTAATGATTGTAAAGTTCATCCAGTTACTCAGGGAAGTGCATTAATTACATAACTGAGGGAATGATCCTGTCTCTACAAATAAAATATGACTGGCTGTTTGTTTTTTTTTAATTTGTAATTTTATTAGAACACATATTGGACATTTACACAACATACAACATATAAATAACTTATCATATTTAAGCATTGTTTCATAGTGGTCTTCCGGTTATTACTTTAATTCTTCTTCCCTTTTAGCTTAATCTATTACTCCATCTTCTTCCCCTCCTTTTTTTTCCTTTTTCCCCTATAGAGAACTATACATTTTAGTTATCTCTTTACTATTATACATTTCTACCTTCATATTATATACATTTTTATTCCACTCCGAACATATGATACCTCTCTATTTTGTACTTCTATTTTTCTCTCCTAATAGTTATTGTTCTTTATTGTTGGTCTTAAACCAGTTATACAATTTATTCCATATTCTATAATATTCTGTCTCTTCTTTTTCTTTGATTTCTTTTGTTAATCTGTCCAACGGAGGAAGAACTAATAGATAAGATCTTAGAATGCGCTGAGATGGACAGGCTGTTGTTCTAATAAGGGTTTTCAGACTAGCTAGCCATTCGCTTTAGGAGTTTGGTTGCCCATAAACTTGGGGAAGCCTCCAAAATCTAGTGGATTAAGACTAGGAAAACCTGAATTCTAGTCTTACTTTGGGTACAAAGGTCAGCTGGATGACCTTGGCTACAAGTAGTCCTCGACTTATGACCATTTAACAATGGTTCAAAGTTACGATGGCCTCAGAAAAAAATGATTTACGACCCACCCTTGAAGTTACCTCTGCGATCGCAATGTGGATGCTTGACAACTGGCTCGCATTTACAAAATTTGCAGTGACTTGTGTTTCACGTGATCATGATTTGTGATCTTCTCAGCCGGCTTCCAACAAGCAAATCAATTGGGGAAGCTCGATTTGCTTAACAACCACACAATTCACTCAACAACTATGTGATTCATTTAATGATCAGGGTGATTTGCTTAACAACTGTGGTAAAAATGATGATAAAAGCAGGCCTAGGCACATCATAACTTGTTTAATGCTTTTCTTAGGGACTGAAATTCCAGCCCCAATTGTAATCATAAATTGAGTTCTACCTATAGTCACTCTCTCCCAACTCTAGAACTACTAGTTTAGCAATGCTAAACTACTTCCAAAAATGCTACTTAGAAAACTGCCTGGATTTGTCCATGTAATCATCAGGAATCAAGTCTGACTTAAAGGTGAAAGGAAAGAAAAAGAACTAAGATTTTGCATGTTCTGTGCAACTAACCCAATGTTTTACCTGGAAGCCAACCTGTATAAACTAGTCATATTAAAGCAGGGGTTCCCAATGTGGGGCCCATGCCCCACAGGGGGGCAATTTGATTTTTAATGGGGGCAATTCAAAAATGTGTGGTATCTAGAGTTTAGACTTTAGACCTTAGCAACACTTTTTAATATATGTATAGACAAGACTCAAAGAATTATGTCACCGGGGAGGGGGGGCATCAGGATTTTGGGGCTGCCCTTGGGATACACCCGGAGGCTCAAGCTGGTCCAGAATGCGGCCACACAGGTTGTTACGGGAACTTCCCGTTACTCCCATGCAACACCTCTCCTGCGCGAGCTGCACTGGCTGCCGGTGGCCTTTCGGATCCGCTTCAAGGTGCTGGTTCTCACCTATAAAGCTCTTCATGGCATGGCCCTGGGGTACTTGCAGGACGACCTCCTACCGGCCTCCCACCGCCCAGTGCGTTCACATAGAGCTGCCCTCCTCCGGGTACCATCGGCCAGACAATGTCGGCTGGCGGCCCCCAGGTCGAGGGCGTTCTCTGTTGCCGCACCGACCCTCTGGTTACCCACCGGGCTCCGGACGGCTCCCGACCTCTGCACTTTCCGCGCTGACCTGAAGACATGGATCTTTCAGCAAATCCCCTGATCGGCTGTGTGATTTTAAATTGTGGGGATTTTAACTCGGTTTTTGGTTTTAGTATTTTATTATGTTCTCTTATTGTGTAAGCTGCCCCAAGTCCTACGGGAGAAGGGCGGCATATAAATTTTGATAAATAAATAAATAAATTTTAGAGATGCTTAGGTGGGGCATGGCCAAAAAAAGGTTGGGAACCACTGGATTAAAGTAATTTAATTTGAATTCCAGAGTTGGGGAAAAAATAAAGCTATCAGTATTTTTGCAACACAGGTATGGTGTAATATGTATAGATGTTAATGCAGGGCCTGAGAAAGAGCATCTGTTTGTTGGATCTCCCCATTTGTAATCAAAGGCTCCTCTGCCCTAAGATAAGGAGATCCAATTCATTCTATGGATTTGAGGGAACCTTTCCAGGGTTGTAACTACAACTATCTTAATTTCTTCATTCTTGAGATGGAACAGTAGAGCATAAGAAAATAATTCTCAACACCTGCCCAGCTATTCCCAGAATGTTCTAAGGAAGAACACCCAAAAAAGGAATCTTGCTACAGCACTCATGAGATAAAAGTTAATTTTATCAGCAACTGTAAAAGCTCTCTGGGCTTTTAAGATGGGATTCCCGCCCCCCCTCCTCTTTTTGGCCTCTATTCAGGGTGTCGTTTCAAAGTAATAGAAGTCCCACTGCTTACCATGGCAGCTGGGTACAGTGGTTCAGTGAATGTGGTTAAAAAACGGTAAATGAGGTTTATGGAACTGGTGATGCCGTAGAAGGTCAGGGAGCCTGCAGCATAATCCAGGAAAACCCCAATGGTCTTGCAGTAGTCACCACGCAGCACAGTCTGGATATTATTATGCCAGACAGAGAAATTCACTGAGTCCCACTCCAAGCACCATGAATAATTATTCCTGCCAATCAGATACAACATGCACGATTTTTCGGTCTTATGCCGGTAGCTGTAGGCAACACCCAGGCACAGCCAGCCATTTGAAATCTCAGCCTCCCAATAATGGCAGCCCTCGCAGAGGCTGCGGGTACCAAGGAGCTGGGGCCAGTGGTTAAATCCAGGGGTGGGTTTTGAATAGGTTTCCAACAAAATCCCCATGTTCAGCACAGAGTGAGTCTCTTTAAACAGGAAGAGCTCTTCGTTGGCAGTGGTGGCATCAAAATTCAGGATACAATAGTCTGTTGCATGGAAAGGGAAAAAAAAGAAAAGAAAAGAAAAGAGGGCAACATTAAATTTTGTCAGTCTAGAAGATTTATCCACAAGAAGGATGAGAATGCCAGGAAGATTTGAGTAGACTAGGAGGCAAGATTATTTTTATTCTAACACAGAGAACCTCCATTTCTTGAATGTTTCCCTCAGATACTGATGAATCTGGGAAATAAGACAGATACAGTCTTCAGTCATACTGTATTCTATATTTTTGCTATGTAGCAAAAATGTAGCAGGTATGTAGAATGCTACACACAGAAGAAAAAAAATCAAAGAGCAAGCCTCTATTTGACCAGGGCCTCAAGTTTTCAAGAAATGAAAACTTGTGCCAAACAGAAAGGCAGGAATAATAATTACAATCAGCTTAAATCAAACTACTGCAGGATGAAGGACTCTTCATTGAAAATCATGGACTGTTATCTAGCACGTTAGTCCGGTGCTGTTTGGTAGAGAGATATTTTTCATTTTTCCAGTCTAGGCTGACAAGAGCGCCTGGCCAAAGTCACCCAGCCAGTTTTTATGCCGGAGAAAAGACTAGAACAGAGATCTCCAAAATGATCAATATTGACCCCTAAATGGCATTGTGCAAGGTTTTTTTTTAAAATTATTTCATGATATTATTTTTAGTTATTTGTAGTACTATTATTTAATGTCGTATTTATTATTTGCACATATCGAAATATGTAGGTTGATGAACAATCAGAAATTTCATGAACGGGTCATTAAGCTGAAAAGTTTGGAGAGCCCTCTTGTGCATACATAAATCTGTGTATGTGTGGAGGGAAAGAGATAGGGAGTATTAGAAAGGAATATTTTTTTAAAAAATTAGATCTTAGCATGATCCTTTACTTGTCAGGCTAAGCGATCATGTGGTTAAATGTGATTTGTGATCCCACCCATTGTGGCTGTTAAATGGAAACTGTACCATAATGACTCATTGAGGGAATCATGGTTAAGAAATGTAGTCTTAATGTTAGCCATCGTTATTCTCAAAGGGTAGCTAGAGATCGGTATGCACACATCCTCTAGGGCTCGTGAAGGACCGTATGTAAGGGGATGAGAAAATGCATTCTGACGTGCCGTTTATGTCCTGCATCCTTCAATTCCTTCGTTTGCCATTTGTTTAGTTTGCTTATATGCAGATAAGATGCGAAGTGGAAAGAGCAAAGCTTGTGAAAATAATAGTGGACTTGTTTTGCCTACAAATAGAATAGAATAGAATAGAATAGAATAGAATAGAATGGAATGGAATGGAATGGAATGGAATGGAATGGAATAGAATTCTTTATTGGCCAAGTGTGATTGGACACACAAGGAATTTGTCTTGGTGCATATGCTCTCAGTGTACATAAAAGAAAAGATACGTTCATCAAGAATCATAAGGTACAACATGTAATGATAGTCATAGGGAACAAATAAGCAATCAAATCTATAAGCAAACTTTTAAAATCTGTAGTATGTACCGTAAGTACATACAAAACAAAATATAAATGGTTAAAAAAACTAATACAAAACAAGATAAAACTAAGGTGAATATAAATAGAAGCAAAATGTACAAAATGTTCTAGAGTACTTACAATTACACTTACACTTACACTTACACTTACTAAGCCTCAATTTTTAAGCAAGTTGAACCTTGACCATACAGAATTATATTGTCCAGCCTTTCCTGATAAAAGACCATTTCAGACGCTTAGAGTTCAGGAAGTGCAAAGATATTAAATAGGTTTTTATGCCACTTCCTAAGCACAGCAGTCATCAGAAGGGAAAGAGAAAACAAAAAAAAAATTTTTTTGCTTGACAGTCTGGCTCTTGGTATCCTCATGTAGGTTAGGAAGTCTTTGAACTGTAATGCCAAATGGTTCAGAGGGCGCCAAGATGAGAAAGGATTCCCTTCACATTTGAAACTCTTACCCATTTCAGTAGAGCTTCTGAGAAGACATTGAGTCTTGAGAAATTGTCCCAGCAATTGGAGGAACGAAAAGGACTCACCTAACGGGACTGGGAGAGAGGGAGCATAAGATGTCCTATTTAAGGACATAGCTTCTCCTGAGAGTTCATTGTCCAGGACTACAGAAAAACAGCCTCTTATAACAGTCAATAAATCAGAGGTGACTTTCACTCCACATAAAGGCAGGCAGCTTAAACCAAGTTTAAGCGAGCTGTCCATAAAAATATTTTGGACTGCAACAGACTTTGTGTGCCATACACAAACAACAAAAAAGTTCTTGCTGAGAAAAATAGCAAACACACCAGGTGATTAGGAAGACTAGCAACTTAGGCAGGAGAAGGAAACCAGAGGGCCAGAAACCAATATATATTTGACTTTGTCTCTTTGCCTGTATTTGAAAATGCAGGAGAGGAGGGAGGGAGGGAGAGACAGAGAATGAGAGAGAGAGAGAGAGAGAGAGAGAGACAGACAGACAGACAGACAGACAGACAGACAGACAGACAGAGACTGAGACTGAGACTGAGACTGAGACTGAGACTGAGACAGACTGACTCCTGGGGAAAAAAAAGTCTTTTCTCTATTGTTTTTGTACCCAACATAGAAATCTATCTTGTTCTTCTTGAGAATTATTATTGTTATTGTTATACTTTCATCTGTCTGTCTGTCTGTCTGCCTGCCTGCCTGCCTGCCTGTCTATCCTATTTTATGACCTTTCTTGAGACATTAGTTAAGTTAATCATTGCAGTTGTTAGGTTAGTAACACAGTTGTTAAGTGATTTTGGCTTGAGGGATCCTTGGTGCTCCCTGAGCTTGCTTGTTTTCTTGCAGACGTTTCATTACCCTAACTAGGCAACATCATCAGTGCTAGTAAGGAGTGCATTTTGCTATCAGTTTATATTCTGGTGTCTTGCCTGTCTGTGTGGGTGGGGGCGGTCTTAGAGATTCCTTGGTTGGGCTGTTTACATGGCTCTTTGGCAGTTTCTTGATTGGGATATTGCTTACTTGATTGTTGGCCTTGGAGTTAATCTATGCTGATCTGACTGCTGATTACTGGTGGAGAGGTGCTGGAGTCCTTATCTCTTTGGGGCTGGTTGATTATCTCTTTTGCATAGTCTATAGCAGGGGTGAAATGCTACTGGTTCGCTAACCGGTAGTGATAAAAACTACTAGTTTGGGCGAACTGGTAGTAAAAAAAAGCTACTGGTTCATTTGAACTGGTATTTCCAACGATCAGCTGTACCGGGCGGATTAGTTTAGTTAGAAAGCAGGAAATCCTGCTTTCTAGCGAAGCTAAATCGCGTGGCACAGCTGTTCCCCCCTTCGCTGTTCTACTTACCTAGTGAAGTTGTCTTTTTCCGCGTGAAGTCTGCATTTGCCGCGCACTGCCCATGCGCAGGAAGCAAACTGGTGGCGATCCAAGGAGAATTTCACCACTGGTCTATAGATGTTGTTAATGTGTATGTGTCTATTGAGTGCCAGATTCTAGAAATTCTCTGGCATTTTTGGACTTGGTCTGGTCTAGGATTGTCACATTTTCCCAATTGCAGCTATGTTTAAATCGGTCTATATGTTGTGAAATTAAAGAATTTTTGTCATGTCTTCTGACTGCCAATTGGTATTCATGGATATGTTCTGCCAGTCTTCTCCCTGTTTGTCCTACATAGTGGTTGTTACAGTTCTTACATTGTATGTTGTAGATGACTCCTGTTTTTTCTTCTGAGGTTGCTGGGTCTTTTAGTTTGCTTAGGATGTTTTGAAGGGCTTTAGCTGGCCTGTGTGCCATGCTGATTCCATGTGGTTGTAGTAATCTATTTGTTGTTTCTGAGATATTCTTGATGTATGGCAGTGTAATTTTTTTTAGAGTTTGTGTTGGTTGTGCTATATTGGGTTGAGTGGTCAGGGACTTTTTGATAGTTGTGTGGGTATCCCATTTTGTTGGAATGTATTGTACAGATGTTCCATTTCCTTTTGCTGCCATGTATTTGGGCTCATTTAAATGAGGTCCTTAGAGAGCTTCTGTTGCGGGAGGTTGGGTTGTTGCTTTGGTAAGGGAGCACCTGGTTAGTACAGGTGGTTTTCCATTTCACACTTATGACCACTGCAGCATTCCCTCAATCACATGATTTATATTCGGATGCTTGACAACGGATTCACATTTATGATTGTTGCAGTGTCCCAGGGTCATGTGGTCCCCTCTTGCGATCTTTTGACAAGCAAAATCAATGGGGAAACCAGATTCACTTAACAACTGTGTTACTAATTTAACTACTACATCGATTCACTTAACAAGTGTGGCAAGAAAAATTATAAAGTGAGGCAGAACTCAACAAATTTCTCATTTAGCAACATAAATGTTGGTCTCAATTGTGGATGTAAGTTGAGGAGTACCTGTACCAACTTGTCAGAAGTGAAACGTCTTCCAGAAAAATCAAGAAAGTCCAGTTGCCTTTTTAAAAGCACCTGTGGGACATTAGTCACACTGATGTTTCCTTTCCTTTGTCTTAGAAGCAGTAAAAATCTGAACAGGTTTCACTAAGCATGAGCATGTTTTCTAATAATAAGTATTATTTTAATTTTCTGATATGATCAAACTAGGACCGACTGATTTTCCTCATTTTCTATGTTCTATATTATCTTTTGCACCCAGAAATTAGATTCTGTGAAAGAACCCATTCTTTACCCTTTCAGAAGATTCCTTCAATCCTACATTCAGAAGTCTGGAGGCACCTTTTCAGACAAACAAATATTATTAAAAGGCATGATAGCTTACAAAAGCTTAAAATAAAATAAAATTAATAAGTCTGAATTTTGGTTGCCATAGACCAGGGGTCAGCAACCTGCAGTTCTGGAGCCGCATGTGGCTCTTTCATCCCTCTGCTGTGGCTCCCTGTCGCTAGTCGGCTCCACAATTGAGAGGACTTTTGGTTAGGACAGTTAGAGGAAAAAGGACGCCGTGCTAGGAGGAGTCTCTATGGTGGGGGAACTGGACTTCCGGTCGGCTCCAGAATTGAATGGGGGGCTTCCGGTTGTGGCTCTTTTGAGTGTTTAAGGTTGCCGACCCCTGCCATAGACTAACATGGCTCTCCTTGTACAATGTCCATTTGCCTTAGGCATTCTGGTCATCTGAAGAGATACTATTGTAAGTAGGTTACTTGCCAAGATCTGACAGTCAGCAGCATTCCAGAGGCTAATATTGGGGAAACAAATCAACTAAAAGCACCTACACTTTAGGAGAGTCTTCCGATCTGTGGGTGTGGGTAATAGTTCATATGGCACCATTGTGATTCCTGAAAGATTAAAGATATTTGAGACATTTATTTAGTGCCTGTTTTTAAAATGTGTTCATTTATTCGTTCAATGTATGCATCAATAATTGACCCATGATATCAGAATGTGCCAAATTGGACAGGTTAACAATGGAACTTAAAGATAAAGAGGAATCTGAGTATTACTCAACATGGGACTTATTGTACAAATGGCTAGAAAACAGGTGCAGAGATTAGTAACTTAATAATGAAAGAAGATTAACAAGAGCCTTGGTTTAATGCACCCTGTTATTAACACAGCTGCCTGCAATTTCTGCAGGTTCGAATCTTACCAGGCTCAAGGTTGACTCAGCCTTCCATCCTTTCTAAGGTAGGTTAAATGAGGACCCAGTTTATGGGGGCAATAAGCTGACTTTGTATAAATATACAAAAGTATGAAGGCTATTGCTTAATGCATTGTAAGCCGCCCTGAGTCTCCGGAGAAGGGCGGCATATAAATCAAATTAAAAAAAAAAAATAGAAATAGATATAGATATAAGAATAGATATCATAAGTAATAGTACTATTGGACTGTACATGATTATAGATTAAAACATATAGAGTGATAAAGGTATAAAGTGTTATAGTACAACTTTGAAAATAATAGTTATTACTACGATGTACAACATTATGTATTTAAAAGAGACTATATTGTATGACTACGAGAATAATGGTTATACTCAGGGTGTATAATATTATTTGTACCTAAAAAGGACTTGATACAGCCAGTACACTGTCGTTGCAAAACTGGAAATGTGATATATAATAAAGGAAAATAAAATATAATAAAAATATTTTAAAAATAATAATAATTGACCCACGATTCAGGGCGATATATGCAACTGAAAACAACAAATAACGAGCCACAGTCAATTCAGACAACTAAAACCATTGAGAGAGGCTTATAAAGCCAGGTCTAGCTTTTAGCCCCTATCTTTCAGAGAGAAGATGGGGTTGGGCCATCTGGATTTTGGGAAGAATGCTATTCCATAGGGCAGGTGTGGCATCTGAAAAGACACATCTCCTGGGTCCCATCAGTTAACAAACTGCTTGAATGACTGGACCAGTGGTGGGTTGCTCCTGGTTTGCACCGGTTCGTAAGAACCGGTAGTAAAAATTTTTAGTAGTTCGGAGAACCGGTAATAACATTGGCTGGCCACACCCCCAAACCGGTCCCTGGTCCAGTCGCCGCTCGCTTTTTTTTTAATTTTTAAAAGCATTTTTTCTACAACCTCTTCAGCTGAAGAGGTTGTAGGGGGAAAAAATGCCTTTAAAAGCCTCTGGCGATCCCAACTGAGTTGCCTGATCGTCAGAGGCTTCTAAAAGCATTTGTTTCTGCAACCTCTTAAAAGTAAAAAAAAAAAAAAAAGTTGCCCACTCCCACCCAGTCACATTACCCCTCCAAGCCACGCCCACAAAATAAGCCATGCCCACAGAACCGGTAGTTAAAAAAATTTAGAACCCACCCCTGGACTGGACTCAGAGTCATCTCTGTTTGATACTAAAGAACAAGAATGCCTTCAACGCCACCCATAGCCATGCTCTTGAACTATTTTTACTCTTAACCAAGGGCCTTCACTACAGCAGATGATAGCAAACTTTGGCTGGTTCTGGAAACTACCATATTTTTCAGAGTATAAGTTGCACCTGAGTATAAGACGCACCGGAGTATAAGACGCACCTTAGTTTTTGGGGAGGAAAATAAGAAAAAAGCTGATTGGCAGGTGGATCGGCCTCCCGTAATACCCCCAATCAGCTGTTCCCAGAGGTGAATTTTAGCAACAGGTTCCTTGGTTGTGAGCTCTGTGCCGTTCTTTTTTTTTGCTTTTTTTTCTGCCTCTGAAAGTCTCCGAAACAGAGCTTCAGAAAAAAAGCCTCTGAAGCTCTGTTTGGGAGCTTCTTTTCTGAAGCTTCATTTCTGATGCTTTTTTCAGCCTCTGAAACCTCCACTTGAGAAGCTGGGTGGGGCTACATTTGGAGTATAAGACACACCCAGATTTTCACCCTCTTTTTTGGGGGAAAAAGGTGCATCTTATACTCTGAAAAATACAGTAAGTAGGGCTAGTTCTGTGAGAATAGACTGAAGCCACCATACCTAAAGATGAAGCAAGCACGTAAGCAGGGCGGACAAAAGTCAGGAAAAGATCCCCTAGGGCAGGGCTATCAAACTTGCAGCCCATGGGCCAGATGTGTCATGCACCAGCCATGCTCACATCTGGTTTAACAAAGGGGGGAAAAGTCACAAAAACATCACATGAGGACGCAAATTTGACACCCTTGCCCTTGGGGAAGTAGTTAAGAAAGAATCGAGTCATTAAGGAAAAAAAGGGGGGAAATGTTATCTGAACGAGATAAAAGAAATTGGACCTCAGCACACGAAAAAAAAAAACCTTCTGTGTGCCCCTTCAATAGCTACCAGATTTGTGAACCAACAAAGCAAGGACATTGGAGAATAAAAGGGGACCTAAAGCCCACCCACTCTTTCAAACATTTTTGGATCCAGATTTGGTGGTTTCTATCCCTCTGGCTAGTGCTTGCCAGTCTAGCTGAAAAAGGTTTGTGTGTGTGTGTGTGTGTGTGTGTGTGTGTGTGTGTGTGTGTGTAGTAAGAAAGAGCAAATTTATATTTTGTGTCCAGTAAAGTTTTGCTTTGATGTTATTTTAAATCCACGGAGTCTCCATGTATTCCAAAGAACCAGTTGTGCCTCTTTGTTCAACTGAAACTGATTTGAGTGTGGCTCTTTTCCAGGGCTGTGAATGTGTGAATGAGTGACCATAAGTTGAATATGAGCATTTGTGTAACAGTACTTGGATAGGAATCATCTGTTGCTAGATTGGTAATTATCTGGGAGAAGGTGACAAGAAACCGTCAGAGATGAGGTGACCATTGTTCCAATCTTTCAGTCCAACAGATGACAGCCTTTAGTCAAACTTGGCAATCTTGAAAGATAAGCATGGTTGGATCTGGTTAATAAATACTGTGGGAAGGGCCCCCTCCCCAGAATAAAGTATTCTACAGGATATTAAAAGAGATAGAATAAAAGGAGAAGAGAAAAATCTGCTTAAAGCAGCCCCAGTCTTTTGCTATAGGACAGGTATCAGCAATCTGTGGCTCCGGAGCCACATGCGGCTCTTTGGGCCCTCTGCTGTGGCTCCATGTCAAGTGATCCCACCACTGGCTGGCGCCGCCCCTCCCCTCCCAGTCACTCCTTGCCTGGCCTGAGAAGGTAAGGGAGACGGCGGGGGGATGGAGAAGCAGCCAGGGCAGAGACAGAGGGATACAGAGAGAGTGGGAGAGAGACAGACATAGAGAGATACAGAGAGAGCGCGGGGGGGGGGAGAGAGGGAGAAAGGGGGGAGGGAGGGAGAGAGAGAAATGTCAAAAGGGTTTTGTGATTCCCGGTGTTTTTTAACAACTAGTTCTCTGTCCTAATGATTGGCTGGGTAGGCGTGGCTAGAGGGGTGTCATGTGACTGGTGGAAGTGAGTGACATCAAGTTGGCCACACCCACCCAGGTTTTGTGGCTCCCGGTATTTTCTTTTCTGTGGAAAATGGGTCCAAATGGCTATTTGAGTGTTTAAGGTTGCAGACCCCTGCTATAGGAAAACAGCCTCAAGCGAAAGCCTGAAGAGGTAAGGCTTTATGAATGGATATTTTGTATCATTCATAAAGCAAGGCCACTGTATTAATACCCAAAGGGCAGCCAGCAGCTCTGAATAAGCAGCACAATAGGCAAGGAGCCTAAACTGACAAGATTAGCTCAGACAAACAAAACACCTAGGATTTGCAAAAAGGGGACTTTTGCCTGTAGAGCCAGTCATGGCCCCATGACCCCATAGGAATCTGGCAACAGCCATTAAAGGATATACCGTATTTTTCAGAGTATAAGACGCAACTTTCCCCTCCCCCCAAAAGGGGGTAAAAATTTAGGTGCGTCTTATATACTGAATGTAGCCTCGCCCACCCTCTGGCCCCCACCCTTTGGCCTCTGCCTCGCAGCAGTTACCTCCTTGCAAGCAAACAGCAAGAAAAAACAGCTCCTTTCAGCTTCAGCACATCCTAATTAGCACAAGTTGATTGGATCGGCCTCCCGACTCTCAGCTGTTTTGCTCTCATCTGTTTTGCGCAGGCTCTGCTGCTTGCTGCAAAGAGGTAAATTGCTGGAGCAGATTTTTTTTTCCTTGTGCTAATCAAGCTATGCTGAAAAAGAAAATGAAAGTAAAGCAGGCTGTTTGCTGTAACGAGGCAAAATTGCTCAGAGGCAGAGGGAGATTTCTTTTTCTTCTTTTCCTCACCAAAAAAGGTAGGTGCGTCTTATACTCCGGTGCGCCTTATACGCCAAAAAAATACGGTATTCTTGCACAGGAACAGGCATCTCAATGATAAAGGCCCAAAAACTGTATAAAAGCCCACCTACTCTCAACTCCAATTCGTCAGCCACTCTAGAAACATGCTGCTGTCACTGTTGTTTCTGACTACCAAATAAACAGACGACCTCTTTTCCAAATCTGCAGCCTGCCTCCAATTCATTTCTCCCGTGTCTCTCCCCTATCTTGGAATAAGTACTGGACCAGATTTAACTTCCAACAATACTTTGATGAGAGTCATGGCGTAGTGGTTAAGGCATCAGGTTAGAAACTGGGAGTCTATGAATTCTAGTTCCACCTTAGGCACAAAACCAACTGGGTGACCTTGGACCATTTACTTTGTTTCAGTCCTAGGAAGGGGGCAACAGCAAACAACCTCTGAAAAATCTCTCAAGAAAATTGTAAGGACTTGTTTAGGCAGTCCAAGAACTGGATACGACTGAACGGAGGGGGAAAAAAAAGGAAACCAGCAGGGAATATCAAGGCTATAAATTAGACTGTGGTGTTAAAAAACAAACCAGAAAGCGACAATGGTTAATCATATATGTTGTTATCTCCTTAATTTCTATATCCATAGGATCTTTAGGAGCTAAGCTCAGCTCAAGAGCCATAACATTTTTTAAAAAGCCTTCCTTCATGACTGAGAATGAACTAGCTGCCGCAACCTCAATTTTACACTCTTGTTCTCTGAACACTGGCTATTTTTCATGTCTATTTTTTAAATGATGCAATTGTACCCTGCTGTTTTCAGTACCACAAACTCCGCCCCCCCCAATCCGCAAAAGTGAAACACAGAGGAGAAGGAAGGAAGCGAGGCCGGGAGGCCTGACAGAGTAAAAGCTGGGATCCACCAAGGGTTGCTATGGTGGGTAGAAAGGCTATCTGAACAGATGGTGTTCATTAAAGTGCTAAATTCCCAGGAGTCAGTCCTGAAAAGTAGCCTACTTAGGGAGAGAAACATAATCACGTCTCATTAGTTGGAAATTAAGATAAAGAGCTTTTTCTGCACTACAGGCTTAAGCTTTTTCTCCCATGTGTAAACTGGCTGCGAATGAAGCTGGCTTAAGAAATCCTTCCTGTATATCAATCCCATCCTCCATTTTGTGCATGGTGATGGCCTGGATTAACCATCCCATGGCCCTCAACTAATAGATTCCTGCCATCTTTACTTCTCCTGCCTGAGACAGGAAAACATGTTCCTGACTGCGGGTGGGTCTCTGAGAACATATGATCTCCTTTCATCTTTTGTATGAATCTCCCTTCACTGACTTCTCCTCGTTCTTGACTCCTTCCCATTTGGTGTCTTGACCTTTAAAAAAACAACAGAAAATCCCAGTTTTCATATTCTTCCTACTGCTTGGGATAGAAGGGAAATGTGGCAAAACTTATTCAATTTTGCTTGGTGTTTTTTTTAAAGTTCAACCTGATAGGATGTTGTTTGTAAAAGAACTAAAAGTTCAGCTTTTTACAGTTTCACTAACAAAGTTCTTTGCTTTTATTTTAAAGGAAAGGCCCACTGATCAGCTTTCAGGCCCGCTGATCAGCTTTCTTTCATGAAGTGGGTACAGTACTTGTTTCTAGTGGATATCCTCCTTTCTCTGAAGTCAGTCATTGCTAGTATGGTGGGGAGACTGAGCTCAAGATCCTTGCTTGTGGAATTCTTCAATGCTGTCTCCCCTCCTATAATATCTACATGAGGCTACTTAGGAAAGCCATTTGATGACATGGAGTCAGGTACTATCATGAGACCTAATGACTTATTTTGATCTCTGGCTGTCCTAGTGAAGTCATTGTGCTGTTCCGATTACACACACACACACACACACACATAACAGTGGTTTAGTTGGTTTATTAGTATTCCCCAGCAATTCCCTTCACCAAAAACCCAGAATTGTCCCAATTAAGTCCAGCCAAAAGTAGACCAATGCTAGTCCACAGAGCTATGGCTAATGAGTCCACAAGGTACTTGAAAGTTTCCTAATCAAACTAAACCCACCAGGCAAAATTAAATTTCCAATACAAGATGGTTCACAATCCAAATCAAAGCATGGCGTCAATCTAAAGCAAGGCAGAAATCACAACAACTAGGAAACAAACAGGTTCTTCCCAGTATTACCTCTTCCTCATCACTGAGCGGTTGCAGCTGTGATCAGTTTCCACACCTGAAGCCTCAGGGCTGTCCTGCTGCAGCTGAGCTTCAGTCAAATCCCTCTCAGAGGCTGCTTGGAGCCATTGGCCTCCTCCAGATGCGCCTGGAAATAGTTCATCTTCCTCAGAGTTGACATCTGGAGAGGTATTTGGGGAAGCGTCCAGGGGAGTCATCACAGTCATGGAGGTGTTCTCCCAATATCTGGACACTATTTAAATCTAGATGGGGAGGAACAGGCTCAAGCTCAACCCTAGCAAGATTGGCTTGGATCCCAGGATTTGCTGTGCTCAGGAATTTTGCATCTTTAATTCTTGATGGTGTTGCATTCTCCAGACTATTTTGGGGTTCTCCTAAATTATCCGCTTTGCTTGAAGAGCTGTTACCAATAGGATTCTGGGTGAAAGGTAAATGGCTCAGGGCCCAGCTATCTATGGTACCACCTTTCTCCAAATGTCTCTGCCTGTCCCATAAGGGTGGGCCTACTATGGGCACCTTCAAATAAACAATGCCATCTCCTGTCATCCCAGAGCCATGTCCTTTTTGTTTGCTTTTGTCTTTCCTGTATACTTTTCCCCAGAGGTCCATTCCTGCTCTGCTTTACAAAAGCATTGAAATCTTGGCTTTTTTAATAGGCCAAAGATCAAAAGTATTTGTGAACTTGCTGAAAATGGATAAAGTTGTTTTTTTAATGTATCTCCCTCAGGACTCATAACGAAGACTGTAATGCAGTGTCTAGAAACTAGCACTGCCACATATACAATCCAAAGTATGGATGCGGCGGTATGTAGACAACAAATTCATCATAATAAAAAAGGAACTAAAGACACATGAAACAATCAACGTCTTCAAAGGAAAAAGAAAATCACAAGAGAAGAAGAAAACAACAATAACACACTATCCTTCCTGAATATCCTCATCAGCAGCGAAAATGGTAGCAAATTAAAAATGCTAATCTGTTGAAGCACAACCCATACTAATCAAGTGCTCCATTACCAAAACAACAATCCAACATTCTTTAAGAGGAGCTGTGTAAGAACATTATTTAGACCACAAGAATCTAAATACACTGCTGCAATTCAGAATATCATAAAAAGGAAATGGTCTTCCTATACACCTTCCAAAAAAAATGAATACACATGGAACTTTATTAAAAAAATGCCTGATCATTGAACCAGGGATGAAATTTACTTACCTTCGCTACCAATTTGCTACCTCACGCGTGACATCTCTGTGCATGGGACATGATGACGTCTGGGTGGGTAGGCAGAGCCTCCTGCTGCCTGGCCCTACCAGTTCACCCGAGCTGGATAGAACCGGCTCAATTTCACCACTACACTGAACCCACTGCAGCACAATCAGCATGAGCTATTAAAAGGTTAACACTACCATACATCAAAAACATCTCAGAAATTACAAGCATACTATTACCACATGTCATATCGTAGCAGACAAACCAACTGAAGCCCTCTAGAAGATCTTAAGTAGATCAAAAGTTCCAGTAGTCCAAGAAGAATTGATTTTATTTTAAACTGGGATGTCTTGAATTATCTAGGACCAGAGTGTTTAGTATATTTTAATTGGTTTTTTATTAACGTTTGTATTAAATGTATTTTTATCATTCGCTGTTCACCGCCCTGAGTCCCTTAGGAATAGGGCGGTATATAAATTTAATAAATAAAAATAAATAAGAAGAAACAGGTTTCATCTCCAAAATATAATACAAGGACTGTAACAGTCCGTAGAGATTCTCAGTCATCCAGGTCATGGTTGTCCAAAAGGTGCTTTTTCAGGAGGCAACTGGACTTTCTTGTTTTTTCTTTGAAGACATTTTGCTTCTTATCCAAGAAGCTTCTTCAGCTCTGACAGGATAGCCCTTCCATTCCCCATTATCCTGTCAGAGCTGAAGAAGCTTCTTGGAGGAGAAGGGAAACATCTTCAGAGAAAAAACAAAGTCCAGTTGCCTCCTGAAAAAACACCTTTGGGACAAGAACTGTAACAGCTAATAGGTAGGACAGACAGATTAGCAGAGAACATCCATGAACATCAAATAGCAATCAGAAGACATTATGAAAACTCCTTCATCTCACAAAAATGGACAGACTGAGCCATAGTTTCAACTGGGAAACTGAGCATCCTAGACCAAGCTAAATCCAGAAATGTTAGGGAATTCCTGAAAGTTTGGCATTCAGATAAATCAGCCATCAAGAGATACATACATAGGGATAAATTATATTTACATACCATTCAAAATAAATAATAAAAAACTTAAGAGGGAAACAAAAAGACCAAAACACACCTTCAGCAGCCTATACTGTACCAAAATAAACAGGGATTAATACGAGGAAAAATGAAACAGAAAATGATATCCTAATCAAGGAACCAAGCAAATAACCAAGCTCAAGAGAGCACCAAGGACTCCATAGTTCAATCCTGAGCTACATATATTCTCTCCTATTTTTGCCTGTGTTTATTTTTTATTTATTTTTCTCTGCATCTTTCTTTTTTGGGAACTATGTCAGGGTTGTTTTCCTTTGGTGTAAATGCCCTATTTTAAACAAAGTGTTCAAAGTACAATGTCCCTCACTCAAATGTTTTCTTCCCACTAACATCATTTGGAAGGATTTCCTGTTTTCGAGACAGAAATGATTGAATTATGTTGTGAAAATAAATTCATTTGAACATGCACAATGAAGGAACTGAATGAACTGAATTGAACAAGACAATCACTTTCAAATTTAAGTTTACTTACCCTTCAGTTTACTTACCCTTCTGAAGGATTTTATTGATGAAGCAGAGTCCAATCATTGAGATTTGGGATTTCAAATCACTCAGTGTCTGTTTAATCCCCACAAAACTGCTGAGTTCCTCACATTTCAGTCCAATCAAAGCTTCTGAGCAATCAGATATGGCCTTTATTTTTGGGTAGTCCTATGGTAACAAACAGTGTTGAAGAGCTCTTACAGTTCAGCAAAATCTTTATTTGGATATTGGAGCATGGAGACTAGCTTTTCCCCCCCTGTTGTGTAAGACCCTTCTACATAACACTGTTTCCACTCTCTAATGCCCAGAGTCAGAAATGAGACAACTGTGCTTCCAAAACCTGCCAAACACAAAAACTCTACTGGGTTACTTGGGAACTTGTATCTAAGGTGACTGGACAAAAAATGAAATAGTAGATCACTGGACTTAAAAAAAAATACAAAAAAAGCTGTTGGAAAGAAAAGTAGTAATTAAAAACTGTTCTGCCAGGTTTTGGACCAGCAACTTTCTATTTTCAAGGCAAAGGTTTTATATCTTGTCCATGATAAAAGGCAACTTTAAAAGGTAGAGAGGAAGGTAAACATTGAGTTGCTCAAATGAAAATTGCTGCCTCTGCAAAGTAGCCAATGAATAACGGGTTATCCTGCAAACAAACTGAGATGCACTATCTGAAAACAAACAGGAGGCTTGAGGCGATATGCAATAATATGGGAAATCTGTATTGAAAGTCTAGACTAGAAAAATGTGCCCTAAAATGTGTACAGGGATTTAAGAGAAGATAATGTCACCTATTTTATCCCTCCATAAATAGTTGCCACCCCATTCTAATGATGGGTCAAGGAGACAATATAGATAAACTTCTTGGTGTTGCACAGGAAGTAGTCAGAGTGTTTTTCAGGAATAATAGTTTTCAGTTACTGGAAGAGTCCAAAAGAATGTTAGCAAAAACATCCTAACAGTATGAGTAGTTGGGTGACCAGTTACTAGAGGTGCTGGACCTCCATTCGCTGTTTAAGTTCCAGCTGAGGGTAGTTAGTCATCTGTTGGGGATGCTTTGGTCCGGATCAAATTGAGCAGGATATTGAATTTGGTTACTATACAGGTAGCCCTCAACTTGCAACAGTTCATTTAGTGACTATTCGAAGTTACAACAGCATTGAAAACAGCGACATAACCAGTTTTTACACTTATGACCATTGCAGCATCCCCATGGTCACGTGATTTACGTACAGATGCTTGACAACTGGTTCATACTTACAATGGTTGCAGTGTCCTGGAGTCATGTGATCATCTTTTGCAACCTTCTGACAAACAAAGTCAATGGGGAAACCAGATTCACTTAACAACCATGTTACTAATTTTAACAACTGCAGTAATTCACTTAACAAATGTGGCAAGAGAAGTCATAAAATGGGGCAAAATTCATGGAGCAAATTTCTCGCTTAGCAAAATAACTTTAGGGCTCAGTTCTGGTTGTAAGTCAAGGACTACCTGTACTTAAATGTCCCCAACTCCATAATTCAACTCTATACAGTAATTCTATGATTCTGGATGAATGAATTTTAATGTTCATTTTAAGTCAATCTTTCTAACTTAACCCTGTTTGCTTTTGGGAGTCCTAATTCATGATATATTATTCAAAGACTTAATACAATTATCAGGCTTATATTTAGTACAATTATCCGAAGAAAATTGGTTATCATTCATTATTGGTTTAATGTGTATGAGTGTGTGTGTGTGTGTGTGTGTGTGTGTGTGTGGTGACTAGTCATTGCAGTTTCTTTGGAAATATTTTTCAGAAGTTGTTTGTTCTTGTCTCCTTCCTAAGGCTGAGAATGTGTGACTTGATTGGCCCAAGGTCACCCAACTGGTTTTGTGCTTAAGATGGGACTAGACCTCGCAATCTCCTGGTTTCTAACATGATGCCTTAACCACTGCACCAAGTTGATTGACAACTTGCTTATTGCGGTGTATGAAATCAACCATGCTTCATTCAATGAATCATGGTTAATCAAATCTCTGGAGGGCTCGGGACAGGGGGTGCTCCTCTGTCCTGGTCCTGTTAGATCTCTCAGCGGCTTTTGATACCATCGACCATGGTATCATGCTGCACCGGTTGGAAGAGTTAGGGGTGGGAGGCACTGTGTTGCGGTGGTTCTCCTCCTTTCTCTCTGACCGGTCGCAGTCTGTGTTGACAGGGGGACAGAGGTCGACCCCGAGGCCCCTCATATGTGGGGTGCCGCAAGGGTCGGTCCTCTCACCTCTCCTGTTCAACATTTATGTGAAGCCGCTGGGCGAGATCATCCGTGGTTTCGGGGTGGAGTACCATCAGTACGCTGATGACACCCAGCTGTACATCTCCACCCCGGATCACCCCAACGATGCCCTTGAAGTGATGTCCCGGTGCCTGGAGGCCGTACGGATCTGGATGGGGAGGAACAGGCTCAGGCTCAACCCATCCAAGACCGAGTGGCTGTGGTTTCCGACGTCCCGATATAGCCAGTTGACGCCATCACTGACTATTGGGGGCGAATCATTGGCCCCCACGGAGAGGGCTCGCAACTTGGGCGTCCTCCTGGATTCACGGCTGTCTTTAGAAGAGCACTTGATGGCCGTGACCGGGAGGATTTTTTATTAGGTCCGCCTGATTCGCCAGTTGCGTCCCTTTCTGTATCGGGACTCGTTACGCACGGTCACTCATGCCCTCGTCACCTCCCGCCTGGACTATTGTAATGCTCTCTACATGGGGCTCCCCTTGAGGAGCACCCGGAGGCTCCAACTGGCGCAGAGTGCGGCCGCGCGGGTGGTAATGGGAGCGACATGGCGCTCCCATGTAACACCTCTCCTGCGCGAGCTGCACTGGCTCCCGGTGGTCTTCCGGGTGCGCTTCAAGGTTTTGGTTACCACCTTTAAAGCGCTCCATGGCTTAGGGCCTGGTTATTTACGGGACCGCCTACTACCACCAATAGCCTCCCACCAGCCAGTACGCTCTCATAGAGAGGGGCTCCTCCGGGTGCCGTCAGCCAAACTGGCGGCCCCTAGGGGGAGAGCCTTCTCTGTGGGGCACCTACCATCTGGAATGAGCTCCCCCCGGAGATACGGAGGATCCCGGATCTGCGCTCCTTCCGCCGTGCTGTGAAGACCTTTTTATTCCGTCAAGCGGGCTTGGCCTGATCTCTTCCCTTTTTAAAATATGTAAATTTTAATCTGTTTTTAAATTATTGGGGTATTTTAATTTGTCTGGGCCAAAAAGTTTAATTTGATTTTATCGGGTTTTTAAATTTTGTGTATTTATGTATTTTATTGTTGGCTGTTCACCGCCCTGAGTCCTTCGGGAGTAGGGCGGTATACAAATCAAATAAATAAAATAAATAAAATAAATAATAAATTGTAGCTGACCAGGATATGTGGTCTCATTTACAATGTGAAAAGTGAACTTTACCTGTAAGAATTGAAAGTCACTTGGATCGTCCAACAGATTTGTCAGCCACAGTTTCTGCTTCTTAAGATCTGCAAGTTGCTCATGTCTGCGCTGAATAGAATTCCCCATATCAAGTAAAGCTGCCTTTTCCTCTTGATCAATGAAGTCCATCACCTTAGTCTGCAGTCGCTTGAATTCTTTTAATACCTCTGTAAAGGCCCAACTAACTTCATCTCTGGTATTCTTCACCACTTTCTGTAAAGAATGAAAAAAAACAAAATATAGCATATGTCCATCTATCTTGATTTAGGGCTCTTCCAGAAAAAACAACAACCTATGGGTCCATTAGAGAAATGAGATTGTCTTCCTTGTGTACCCATGACTCATCATCAGATCTGCAGGATAACATCACATTCTAGTTTCCTCCTGTTATGTTTTTTGGGAAATTGAGGTCTTCCATCTATCTAAATTGAAGCAATAGGTAGACAGGGTCTGGTACAATCATACACACACACACGATGGTGTGATTGTGGAGGGGAAGAAGTTCCAAATCTAGCCCATCTAGAACAACCCTTAATAAGGGACAACTTTCTTTCAGTGGTGGGAAACACTGTTTGAATGAAGAATGTCTCAGGTTCAGTCCATTCCATCTACAGGGTTATTGGAGAAGGTTCCCCTGGAATCTTTAAAAAAAAAATTGCTGCCAGCTACCGTGTTTTCCCAAAAATAAGACCCTGTCTTATATTTTTTTTAACCCTGAAATAAGCGCTTGGCCTTATTGCCATGCGCTCAAAAGCCCTATTGGGCTTATTATCAGGGGATGTCTTATTTTGGGGGAAACAGGGTAGTGATGGATCACAGTTTTGATTCAATATAAAGCAATTTTTAAGAGTACAGTGGACTAAAGCTCTGTTATTAACAACTGCTGCTTGCAATTACTGCAAGTTCAAATCTCACCAGGCTCAAGGTTGACTCAGCCTTCCATCCTTTCAAAGGTAGGTGAAATGAGGACCCAGATTGTGGGGGCAATAAGCTGACTTTGTATAAATATACAAAAGTATGAAGGCTATATTGCTTAATGCATTGTAAGCCGCCCTGAGTCTCCGGAGAAGGGCGGCATATAAATTAAAGCAAAAAAAAAAATTGACAATACATGCAACTGAAATTCTCAGATTAGTTGTAAAATGCAGGTGTATTTTGTATAAGAGGCAAACAAATGTTAAAGTAGGTGCATGCATATGTTAAAACTCTAATCCTCTGTGTGCTACTAGCCATGTGGGTTGAAGACCAAAATATATGGGCAGCACCAATTTACCTTTCATAGAGTTATAGTTAGAGCAAGGCAGAACATATTCAGCATTGGCTTTTAGCCTTAGGATCACTAATTAAGAATCTTGTCTATAGGATCCAAAGAAACCTGTGAAGCTAGTGACTTCAGAATCCATAAGGAGATATCACTACAGGGAAAGAGAAAATACTGAATGGCAATAAGGATCACAATTATTTGACATACTACATTATTTTTTATTTAAGTAGTTAGGTGATTTAGAGCCAGAACTGAATGATTTAATGAAGATCCTTTTTATAAACCATATTCCTGACTTCAGGTTGAAAATTCACTATTCTTTCTTCCTCTCCCTGATCCTACATCTTGGCATTACATGTTTCTACATTGCCTGGTATTGGGGGGAGGGGGAGGGAGACCTTGTCAAAAGAAAGTATGCTGGTTGAACTGCTAAATGCCTTCGATTGGAAATAACACCATTGCCTTCTAAAAAAGTTGTCGTACTTATATCATCATAATCATCATGTCATACTATAAGTATGTGTTTTCCAACCTTGTCAATTTGAATATAGACTTCAGTTCCCAGAAATCCCCAATCAGACATGCTTGGCTGGGGAATTCTGGGTGTTGAAGTCTACACATCTTCAAGCTGCCAAGGTTGGAAAACACTGCCACGTAAGGTTGGCCCATCTGTGAAAATTGTAGCAGGCATCTTAATGGTTGGACATGCAGTTCTGGCATAGATGCTAGTTCCAGTCTTGTCTGCTACTATCTTCTGATTTACTGCTGTTGGAGAAGTTGTTTTGCCCCCACCCTCAACTGAGAAGCTCCACATTTCTTTCATCCACTTTTCTCACTTGCAGCTCACCATAAGGTAATTCACTCTTGCTCTATGTTTCTGATGGTCTTCTACCAATATCATGACCTGGTTTTCCACACTGGCATGTATTCTCTGGATCTCCACCTGGGAAAGAAATGCCCCCATCAAAATAAATACAGAATATTTGTGTAATCACACAGCCATTAAAGATATGCAGACACTGTGACAGGTTGACACTGTGGAAGTATCAACATTGGAACAGAATGCAGGGTGCTCATATATTAAAGTATCAGTTGAGTGGCATACTTTAAAATATCTTTTTACCAAGCGGTCATAAACCTTCGGTCTCAATTCAAGTTTCTATTGCAAAACAAACAAACAACAGCATTCTGTATTACCAAGTGCACCAACCTTTATCTGTGAATTCAGTGTGGTTGCAAAAACTTTCCTTAACACCCATGAAGAATTTTCCATCCTTTTTTTTAAAAGTTAAACAAAATACATATTTTGATTAGCACCAGTTTTCAAAATACAGTATTATTTCCAAGAATACCCATGGATTCTGCAGAGCTCAGTGGTTTTTGTTTTAAATCCCATATGCCCACCCAAAAGAGCAAACTAATTGAGGGGCTGCTAGTAATACCATAGAGCAGGGGTCTCCAAACTTGGCAACTTTAAGACTTGTGGATTTCAACTCCCAGAATTCCTCAGCCAGCTTTGCTTTGCTGGCTGAGGCAGCTTTGCTGGCTGAGGAATTCTGGGAGTTGAAGTCCACAAGTCTTAAAGTTGCCAAGTTTGGAGACCCCTGCCATAGAAGGTAAAAGAGAGAGGATGGCAATGAACAACCTAATCCAGTAAATGTGAGTTCAGAACCCCACTTGCTAAAGCAGTTATTTTGACTGAGGAAGAAGTTAGTGGCAGCCAATTTCATTTAGAGCTCATGGCATGTCCTCAGAATGGCAAATATTCCCGAAAAATTGCATTAGATCAATTGTCCCTGCTGCCAAAGCCCACACTTCCAATCTTATCCTTATATAGCTTCTGTAGAAATTTTGCCTTTTGTGTTATAAATCAGATGACCTTTCTCTCGTGAGGGATGTATGCTAACTTTAAAAACTTATTTATTGTTAAGGGTGGGGGGGGGCGACTGCTTATTTCAAAGTACCATTTTGTTTGTTATTTTGATTTACTTGGCCTGGGGTCTTCCAAATAGGTTTCCAGATCAGGAAGTTGTAATCAGAATCAGCTAGCATCGGGCTAGCAAAGACTGTTTTCATGCATATTAAGACATCAAGGTTAGGAAAAAAATCACTAGCAACTCTTTGCAGAACCCAGCCCTTTTGCTGTGGCAATAGAAGAAGCTAGGGGAATACTTTTCATCTTGAGTTTTGTTTTTCTTCCTCTCCTCTGTGTTTGGGTACAGAAACAGGATAAGGCTATAGAAATCATAGCCTAAGGATGGAAGAAAAAATGGCTGATGGCATGCAGAGGTGTCAAACTGGCGGCCCATGGGCAGGGGTGGGTTCTACCTTTACTACCGGTTTGCAATGGGACCACGCTCGTGTGCTCACTTCTGCACAGATCACCCATGATGATGTTTTGGCGGGTGGGCGGAGCCTCCTGCTGGTTTTACTACCAGTTCCGTAGAACCGGACCAAACCGGGAGCAATCCACCACCGAATCCACCACCGCCCATGGGTCAGATGCATGATATGCAGGCCATACCCACACCAGCTCACATGATGGCAACGTGACGTGGCAAGTTTGACACCTGTGCCATAGCGAGAATACATTTCAGTGATTCTGACACTCCCCAATACGGCTGAACAACTTATAAGAATGGCTGGTGATGAACATATGGATTGTACATATAACGTACAATCCACAAAGTGTGGGAGGAATCTTGGCATATGAATGAACCTTACAGAGCAAGGGAATGCTGCATAAAAGAGGAGAAATAGTAAGCATGGAAGGGAAACAATGAAAGCAGTGTGTAAATTAGGATTCTGATCCTGACCTGGGCATCAAACAATTGAATGACAACTATCTTACAACCCCCAGTCCATATCAACTAAGGAGTGTAACGTATGTGAAAAACTGTCTACCTGTAGCAATGGGCTACTTTTATAGGCTAACTGATATGAACCTGACTCACTTCTACTACTCAAAGCTGCCTTCCATAAAAACATGAGGCAACAGGGTACACTCTGACACCCAAAGGCATATACAAAAACTGCTTACTTCTTTCTTGCTTCTTTCTTGCTTCAAAGAAATTACTTCATGGTTCTTATGCTCTTCCCGGACACAGATGTGGCAAATAAATTTGCCTTCCTCTTTGCAGAATAGCTCTAGCAGCTTACGATGTTTTGCACACATGCTGCCTTTCAAGTCACTGAGAGGTTCCACCAGCTGGTGGTTCTTGAAAATCTTGTCTGTGTAGTGAGACTGAATATGGTTATCACACAGGGAAGCTATACATTGCAAGCAAGACTTGACTGCTTTTAACTTTCGCGTGAAACAAAAATCGCACGGGACATTCTTGAAACTAGCCAGCTTCTGTGGATCTTGAGTTTCCTCCTGGGCAAATCTCATTGCAATCTCTCCCAGGGTTATATTTTTGCGGAGCTGAGGTGTTGAACTGAAGGGTTCCCAGCACTGAGGGCAGTAAGGTTGTTCCCCAATCAGAGCTAGGTGTTCCCAATAAACATGCAAGCAATTCATACAGAAGTTGTGCCCACAGGCTGTGGTGACTGGGTCTCTAAATACCTCAAGGCATATTGGACATACAATATTGTCTTCAAGGAAAAGAAAGCCAATCTTCTGCATTGAAATGGGAAACTTTATTCTTGGCTCTGATTCACACAATTTTCAAAAATGTCCAAGTCAGTCACCTATTAAAAAAGAAATCTGTGAAACAGGGACTTTTGACCCTCAAGGGGCACATACTATGATTTTTAAGTCCACGGGACTCAGAAATTTATACACTCAAACATATTCTTACTTTGCATTCTCTCACGCTTACTCATTCTACGTGTGGCAAACTAGTCCCTACAGTTTTCCTGGAAATATTTTCAGATTTAGGCCCTAGACTGAGAGAAAGCGATTGGTCCAAAATCACCAGCTGACTTCATGCCTAATTGGAAGGTGGGAGATGGAGATTGGAAATCTCCATCTCCCCCAGTCTGGTGCCTTCACCACTACACCAAAGTGGCTCTCCAATCTTACATCTACCATACATAATCATTACTTCTACTCCTCCAATGGTATGTTCAGAGTGAACATATAAATCTTCTAACCAACCCCGTGGTCTAGGTAGTTGACTGCTTATTGAGGTAAACCAGTAACCTTGAACAGGGTTGCTAGAAATACCTGCGCTTCTTTCCTTTGATTCTGGTTACCTCTGTGGACCATATGTTATGGCTAAGGACTTCATGTAGCTTTTGGGTCCTAGTCAGTCCATCCCTGCTACCGAAAATAGAATCAACACAATCTGAAGAACTGATAAAATTTAAAGTCATATCATAAAATAAATGTATTTTCTAAAACAAATACAGATCTGAATAAGCTTTATTTGCTAATTTAATCACCTATTAGTGAACTTTTTTTGTGCAATATTAATGGTTCAGTCCACAATCTACTATTTAACATTTAACTTTAATAAGTAAATCTCACTGTACATACAATTCATCAAAATGAATTGTATCAAGTTGCACTGTCAATAGCAGGATCCAAACTAAACCTCTTGACCTGGATCAACTGACTATGAATTTGGTCTGCTGAATCCTTATAACACTTTGAAAAATAACTTATTCTCTCCACCTATTATTTTTGAAACTTGTGTTAAAAATAAAGTTTTTTTAACCTGTTTTTATTTTATTCAAAACAAAGTTAATACACAAAATACAGAACTAAAAAAAAAAGGGAAAAAGGGAAAAAAAACTACCACAAAACATAGAACATTTTTAAAAGGTGCATCAAAAAAGACATATCATTGGGAGCAAAGTCTCCTGGCTCAGAAACTGATGCTATTGGGAGTAGAAACTGAATCTCTGAATAGGGCCACTAGTTGGCACTCTATGACAACTGTATTGCTGCCTTTGCCACGAAGTAGTACCCCTGAAACGCTCTTACCTATGTTCAATTGATTCTGCTCTTCATTTTCCCCAGTGGCATTCTAGGTACTATTACATTGCTGTGTCACCCAGAACTCCTCTGAAAACCAAGGGGCCCTCTAGGATCCATATGCAGAGGTTACATAGGTGCGATCCAATCCAAACAAAAGTTACTCTCTCATTTCAAGCTACAACTGAAGCCTCAGTCAAATCATATACCAGAGTCCTAGAAAGAACCTCAGGCTTCGTTGGAACCCAACATTAGTTGCCTGGGCAGGCCATTCACCTAAGTCTTGCTTCCTTGCAACATCAGACTTCCAAAGCCAGCAGGGAGCTATCTGTCTGTGGCAAGGGATTGATGGTTAACATTCCCCAACTCCAGAACATATTGCCACTGCCTGTTGTCACCAACTGAATGCAAAACCTTGCTCAAGAATGCAAAGCCAGAATGATTTTATAAATCTGCATGACATTACCGTTTTCTAATCGTGTATGCTCCCATACAGCTATGACCTTTCCCAGTAGGAAAGTATATTTTGTTCTTGTAATTGTTATGAGCAAACACCGTAACATTCAAGGCCATTATTAAGACCAGCTGCCTGCAATCACTGCAGGTTCGAATCTCGCCAGGCTCAAGGTTGACTCAGCCTTCCATCCTTTCTAAGGTAGGTAAATTGAGGACCCAGTTATGGGGGCAATAAGCTGACTTTGTATAAATATACAAAAGGATGAAGGCTATTGCTTAACGCACTTATAAGCCGCCCTGAGTCTCCGGAGAAGGGCGGCATATAAATAAATTTTTAAAAAAGGCAATTAAATTATGAAGTTGTGATACTATAGTTCTGCAGATTTCTCTGAAATCTGCACTTACCTGTTAAACGTCAATTGCACTTGGTAAATTAGCAATAGGTACTCTACTACAGCTCCAGCGATTAAAGGTTTTCAGCTGTGGTCTTGTCCCACTCCTTGACTTGACTTTATCTGTTTATAGCCAATCATGAGGTCTGAATTTGCCAGGTGACATCATAGTTCAAACTACAAAGGAGGAGGGAGTAAAGCCCTTTGGTTATGATGTCACTGGCAAGCTCATCTAAATAAAAATATTAAGGACCCATCTGCTATGAGCTTTCAAGATAATAGGCATCCATAACAAGAAACACTACTACACGATTTTTAATATAGCACACATAAGACCCAAACATCTTGTTCCATTGGTCTCAAAAAGACAAGCGATAAATAAGCCATGGTTTCATTCATTCATTCATTTTCTATTGGAAAAGCCCTCTTTGTATGGATTTATCATTCTGCCTTAGGAAGTTATTTATATTGTATCTTGGGTAGCTTCCCTGTTTATCATCCTGCTTGGCCATATTACATATTTATCTATTGTTTGTAGAATCAGAATCACTGCCACCATAGATGGCTATACTGAAACAGAATCCCTAATCCCACAATATACCTAATAGTGATTTTATTATGTTACCTAATACATTAAATTCATTATACAAATGTATCTGAAGAATCTCTTTATAAAAATTATTTTCCAAAAACTACACAAACCCCAAAATGCAGACACATATTTTTAAGTTTTTAAATTTAAGACCCCTTACAAATAACACTATTGGGAAAACTACAGTTATGATTACTATTAAATAATGGCTTCATTCTCCTTTTCAGTGAAGGGAAGCTGTAAATCTTCGCCCTTATTTTGATGGCAAGAATGTTTAATTAAAAACAAAAGCAGAAATGAGTGCATCTAGAGAACTTCTGTGTAAAAGACCCTTAATCTTTAATATCAGCAAACCAGCAAGATACAAAATAAAATCACAAAGAAAAAAAAAACCCAAGCACAAGTCATGTCAGAATCTTTATTGGAAAAAGAAATCACAGCATTTCCATTATTATTCAAACACATTTAATAAACCAAGAGAAACAAGTAGCAAAGGGCACCGACATGTGACAAACTGTACAAAACCTCTAGGCTTGCAAGCAAACCCTGAGGGTGAGGAGCCCACGGCCCAGCTGTGAAGGTCCGAGGAGCCACCCTCACCCCTTTGTGGATAACCCACTCCCCCTCGGACCATTCAGTCACCCCTGAGAAAAATTGATTAAAAATGTGCAGAAACAAAGACACTTTTAAGAGAAGGTTAGCTCCAACCTTGCTGTAACGGAACAATTGGGCCGCTGGGTTTCTCAACCAGGTACTGGTCCCCAGGGGCTAGCTAATGGTTTAAAAAAAACCTCAAGAGATGCACATCCCTCAGATGAAAACCCATCCCACCACTGGCTTCCTTTGCCATTTACTGCCTTTCATGGGGAAACAGCATCTGTATTCATGCTCCAACTTTAGTTTAGTCTCAACCACATAAAGGCAAATGCAAGGAAGAGCCCTGTTGCTAAGAAGGCAAAGTTACAACTGGTGGAGAACATGAAAGCCGATTCTTGAATTTAACAGGGTCTGAAGGTGGCTTCCCATCTTGAGAAAAGAACATCCCAAGTGGGTGAGCTAGAATAGTGTCTTGCTGTAGCTGGAATTCAAGCCCTTATATTAAGAAAGCAGAGAGCTTTCCCAATCCCTAATACTGTTTCTATCTCCAACTAAACTGCTCATCATTTCAGGAAGGGTCCCCCAAACCATAACTAGAAATATTTAATAAGGGAAGGAAAAGAGAAGGTAGTCATGTTCCAACAAAAAACTAGATTTGCTGAAAACCTCTCACAACTTGTCAGCAGCAAGTGGCCCTATTTATTTAGCAGAAACAGTTTTTTTCTGCATTTAGCTCAAATCTTGCTGTAACAGAGCAGCCTCATCTCAAATCTGATTTTATTCCAGATTTAAATGGAGCTGTTTTCAATGACGCCTACATGTACAACAAAATGAAATTACTTTTACCAGTTCATTAACTTGACATCAGGCACTCTTCTAATGTGGCTTCCCCATGCATGGTGTTTCTGGTGATCATAACATAAATCAATGAGGTATTTGTTTTAGTTTACTAAAGCTACACAGTTAAGATCTGCTTCCAAGCAAACCTAACACTGCTACGTGCCCAGCAAGGTGGGGAATGAGTTGGGTTAGGCCAAGTTGGAAATGGCAGCTATTCTTTGCAGCATCCTCTGGTTTTTTCTTTCAACTAGTTCATGCCACCACAATCTCCCTTCTTTGGAAGGAGAGATTATGAGGATACATCTGTGGTTCTTATACTTCCTTGCAACACACACACACAAACACATCTGGTTATTTCTCAGCTGTGGACATACACTGACAAGGGCTGAAAGAACAAGATATTCATAGATTTATGTACACATCACAGTGTTAGTTAAATCCAGCCATGACGTACACTGTCTGACCATGCCAATACCAACACATTACAAACAGGAAGGATGAAGAAGGACAAGAAAGTTGCTTGAATTCCACAGAGTTTGAAGCTGGTTGAGTTTAGCAGCCAGAAGCTGACCTCAAGACCTTTGGTACAGTCTGTTGCTACAGGGACTGAACAATGCACATTATTCAAACTCTAACCCATCAAAACATCAGTGGAGGTATGTTGGCAAAATGGTGGGGAAGCTCAGTGATATATGTACACAAATACTGGAGATTAATGGAGCAGGATAATTTGGTACCCTGTTAAATTTCATTTTAAAACATTTTTGCTTCATCTGCATTATATCTTCTTCCATGCTTTCAGTAACCATTCACTATCCTATTTGTTCCCACTCCTTTTGTAACTAGGAAGAAATAAAAGGGGAAGCCTCATTACCACACACCATAAAACATGAAAAAGACACTGAGTGCAACTCTTTGCTGAGAAATTCCAAGCAAACCAATCGGAATATAAGGGATCCTACTCCGATCACTGACTAACATGGGAGCTTCAATTATTGCCTAGGGAAAACCAAAGCACTGCAGTTTCTTTGATACTTTGGTTCATTATGCTCAGAGCTTAATTCAAAGGCCCAGAAGCCAAAGTTGACTAACGAGAAACAAAGCCAGAATGTAGAGCAAATACTTCAGGAATTCCATTTACCAACAACTAGAAGGGACATTTCACTGATTAGGGATGGCACAAATTAATTGACAAAATCAGTAAGTCCCATTTGTCTAAGATTAGAATTCAGAGAGGCACAACATTGTTACTTCCATTCAAGGCATTCCAACAGAAAAAAAAATACAGAAGTTCACAAATCACTTTGGACAAGAAACATCACAATAGTTTGGCAACTGTCATCATTTTACACCTCCCTGCCCCACCCCCCCTCCCCAACCTGTGCAATGGCCTTTAGTCATTTTGGGTGAGAGGACACAAAGAGGGATGAGAAATTTCAAGCACAGAATCATAATGTGTAAATAAGACTCTCTATCCCTGGATGTATTAGGTAAGAGTTGAGAACTAAAATAATTAGAGTACAAATGAAAACCTGCTTTAATGCAGGACATCAAGAGAACAAGGGAATAGTTTCATGCTATTGAAGACAAGGCAAAGCTGAACTTGGCAGGAACAAATCTTCCATATCAATGAACTATTTGAAATAACCCACATTCTAGCTTTGGTAAGAGAAATGGGGCATAAGCTTCCTTCTTTCCTCTCTTTTCACAGAGAATAAGAAACAATATGACAGAATCTAAATATCACAGGTAATTGGATACCTCAAAAGCATGAAGAATGCTGACCAAACTGCACTGCAAGGAATGCCTACAGTTAGATTTGTAGTGTTATCAGAAGAAAAAACCTTCAGCTAATACCACATCCCTCACTCAACTTTCTTATTTAACAGCTCTGAACCAGTAACATATTTTTTTAAAAAAGATTTGTGAGTGAACATGGAGGAAAAAATATTTAATTATTCATTTTCAAATCTATTTTCCCTGGACCTGAATGACTCTAACTAGGACATTTTTTCTAACTAAAGCATTAGAAATAGCAGTGTGAAACCAAAAGTCTGCTCTTTATCCAGGCCTGTGATGATATAAATATAAATATGTATATATATATATATATCCCCCAAACATGAGTCAATGCCAAGACAGCAAGGAAAAAAAAAAGCAGAGCAAAGGCGCTCTCCAGCTGGAAGATTCTCTTCTTTTCTCTTAGCTTTCTGTGACTGGGGTGGGATGAGCCTTTGGTTTTTACCAGGATTTAATTCTCCACTGGCAGGACAGGCTCAGCTTTGCTTTGTGTTAGTTTTATTACTGTACAAAAGCAAGGTTGGACTGCAGGAGAAATGCTCAGCCCTGCTAAGTTGCCCTTTTAACATCTGGGAGTTTTAAAGTTAGATGCTTGGATTACATCCGTGATCCTCGCTCCTGAAGAATCTGGGGAAAAAAAAGAGAAGCATTTCACTTGAGAAGTGTTTCTTACAACAATAAAAAAGAGAGCTGGAGAACATGCTACCTCTCTCAAGATCTGACATACAGGCAAGTTTGTATAAAAAACTATCGTACTTCCAATCACGGTGGATTTGATTTAAATCGAGTTGATTTAAATCACAATTTAAATCATGATTTAAATCACTAGTAAAAAGGCTTGATTTAAATCAACTCGATTTAAACCATAATTTTTAAAGAGCAACTGTCATCTCTGTTACTCCTTTGACCCACTGTTGACTCACCGATAGTCCCAGTGTTGCAGAATATACAGCCTCATGCTACATAACTAAGCTCCATTTCATGCTGAATAAACTAAATTATTTATGTATCTTAAATAGAAAACTATCTTACGATAGATTTTTACCCCAAAAGTTTTTTATTAAAATAAATCCGATTTAAATAAAAAAAATCCGATTTAAATAAAAAAAAATCTGATTTGATTTTTTTAAAAAAATCATTGATTTTTATCCACCCTGCTTCCAATACACTGATTCTAAGTCATCAAGAGGGTTTTTTGTATGTCACAGCTAGCATATTGTGAACAGAAATCCCAAATATTCAACAGAGTGTATCACAGTATTCCAACCAGGATATAGTTAAAATATATATTATTACAGCCTGATACTGGTATTTTAATCATACAAAAATACTAGCTTACTGTCAAAATTTGGGCATGCAGAAGGATACCTGAGTTTTGAATGCAAGCCTTCATGGGGCGCATACCCTGTAAAGCACAGGTTGCTTTGCTTTTCAAATCATCCGGAATACTTTGAATTAAACATCATTTTGTTTAACTAAACAGTTTAACAATGACATTTGTCATCAGTTTAGAATCATGGATTCTACCAGAAAAAAACTCTCAGCAGTTTTCAATTATGTGCCAGCTTCCAAAACTGCTCGTCCAAAAATAAACAAAGCCACTATAAAACTGCCTCCAAATTCCATCCTAATCGGGAACTCAAAAAAAAAAAAAAAAAAAAAAAAAAGCAGCTGGTATTTCAAGATTTGATGTTATAGATTAAAATGAACTATATGCCAAGAGGGGGAACTAGAACCCTGAACAGCTTAAGCATATTTATATACAGATAGTCCTCATTTAGCAAGTTACTCCTTAACAGAAATTTCCTTTTCTGACCAATGTGGGCATTTAGGACAACCAAAGCTTTCAGAGTAAAACTGATTAAGGTCTGGTCAGTTTCAAGCAGCAGCTCCCAGCAATGGCAGACTTCTGATCAACAAATTTAGGGTCACAGAGCTGTTTAAGGACATTTTAAAAAAGCTTTTTTAAATGAAGCAGCAAAAGAATGATTAGAAGTGGATTTTGGAAAGTTATAATGGATATGGGGATTTGAAATAAGATTTTGAAATTGATTGTGGAAATCCTTCCCATGGGACAGTCTTGTTTTAAATTCTGAAAGAAAGTACAATAGGATGGGAATTTGAACACTGGACATTAGAGGGAACAAGAGGGAACTATAGATTACAATTAAAGGAAAATAGCATTTAATTTTGGCTTACTAATATAGGATGGGACAAAATATTTTTAATACTGGACATATTCAAGGTTTTTTTGAGTAATGGATCTATAAGATAATCTTAAAAGTATCTACCATTATAGATAGGTGGCTTTTAAGAGACATTGCAGAACAGGAGCAAGTTTTGTCAAGCAGGACTGGGATTGATTTGAGTTGATTTCAAAATGACAGCCTGCAAGATGATATGGAAAAAAAAGTTATACTGAATATACAAATAAAATTGGCTGATGTTTTAATAATTGAAAGGGATGTGCAACCTGCAAGCCAAAAGAAGGTCTTCAATTACTTTCTAATATTGGATTTGCAAAATATTATCTGTTAAAATACTGAAAGAAATGAAAAGCAAACCAACTCTAGGACATTATCCAGACTAAAAATTATGATTAATGGACTTTTGCTGACCACAACTGAATTAAATGGTTGTAAGGGTCTGTTTATAAACATGAGATGCGATATGGGATGAAGTGATTTTTTGTAGTATTTTAAGAAAAGATAAGTTATTAAATTTGTTTATACTTATTGCAACAAAGGGGAAAGTTATTTCATTATATATTTTTCCCCTCTGCAATATGTTTATTTTTTAATTTTCTATCTATATATTTTTCCTGTATTTTTAATTTTTATTCTTTTATCTTTTGTAGATTTTGTTTTCTGTTTAAATAGGTTTAATACAATTATTATAAAAATATCCACTTGTTATCTATTTTTATGCCATTTAATAAATAGGGAAAGGATTACAATCACAAAAGGCTTCTCACCTTTGCTTTCTCACTAGGCTCTATGACAATGCCATTGGTCGAATTATTGAGCTCTCTTGATACAACACAGAGAAATTCTGCCTGATCTTCATTTCCATAGTTGTATGAAGATCCAATACTAATTAACTGTTAAAAAGGAAATGATATGTTAAAAATAGCAATATAAGATGAACATAAAATCAGTCTTATAACAGAGAGTTACAGATTTGCAAGACAAGTACTTTTTAACTTCCTTTAACATTTAGAAGGTGAAAAAGCATGCTCATATTATGCCTTTGAACTCTATAAACAGTATGATGTACCATGTGACTTCCCTTTCAGATCAAAATACTAACAAATCTTCGGTTTTGTTAGGCAATTATATACAGGTATATCAGATATCAGGCCTTATAGGTCAATCACAGTATGTTTTATTAATTAATATTTTTTCAGAGAAGGTATTTAGGAATGTTTAAAGCTCATGCATCTAAAAGGGCATGTTTAGAAGTCAATAGCAACTAATATGATCAAATGTGATTCATATAATAAACTGTTTATAGGGCTCAACTTGGTACACCCTGTACATGTTGATTTTATTTGCAGAAACAGCACCAATCACTTCCATATTAATTACTCTCTCATTCTTCTACTATTATTTAAGCAATATGGTATCATTCTACAAAATCAATATTATTTAAAATAAAGAAAACAATTATGTGGCTAGGAGCTCCAGAGATAGCTGGGTAAAACACAAAATTTTAGGACTATTCCATGCTGGTAGGGTGAATAGCTGCTCATGTATCCTAACATTAAATATATATACAACCAGGCTTTGCAGATTTAGCCATAGCTGCAGCACCAGCCATTCATGTAATACCAGTCATTAACACCTTCGAATAAATGGAATAAATATATCTTTTCCTGAGATCGTGTGGCAGCTGTGGAGGGCTGCTTTATGAAGTTCCTGACAGATGCTACATATGTTCTTCTTTATGATTTTAATCATATTTTTCTCCTTGAAGTCAGATCTTTGTGCAGCTCTAACAACAATCACAAAAACAGAAACCCAGCAGTTATAGACAGCCATGGTGACGCAGTAATTAGAATGTAGTACTACAGGCTAATTCACTGCTCACTCCAGGAGTTCGATTCTGCACGGCCCAAGGTTGATTCAGCCTTCCAGCCTTCCGAGGTTGGTAAAATGAGGACCCAGTTTGTTGGGGGCAATATACTTACTCTGCAAACCGCTTAGAGAGGGCTGTAAAGCACTGTGAAGCGGTATATAAGTCTTATTGTTATTGCTATAGCAAATTGAAACAAAATCAGGAGAATGTTTTAGATTGTAGGGGACAGAACTTTCAATAGTATCTGCACATTATCAAGACTGGTAAAGAATAATTTGACTACATGTATTAAACAGGACTCAATACACTTTTATTTTGTCTTTCCATAAAGTAGATAAAAGTGTAACTTGGAAGACATGAACGAAATGAACCTTTTCAGTATTCTGAATTCTACCACAGGCAACTCAATTCAACTTTGCAACGCAAATTATCTGGCTTTCAATAAGACACAGAAGATAGGGATCATCACTGAATGTATGGTGGTTGAGTTAAGAATGCTGTATCAGAAGGATGAGAGTAGATCATTACGTGTCTTTTCCTAGGACGTTGCTCAGTGACAAGACCCATTGTACTAGAATGCAATAGTGAAGACTACTGTCTTGAAAGATCCATTTTCTTGTGCTATGAAATCCTCTAAGGATAGTTATTATACTAGTTCTAATCAGGAAAAAAGTTGTCTGTTTCATTAAGGAGTAATTACACCTAATAATTAGGGGGTACAGCAGGTAAGTGGTTAAGACGCTAGGCTTGTCAACTAGAAATTTGGCAAGTTTTAAACCTAAGTACTACATGATGGAGTGAGCTTCAGTTACTTGCCCCAGCTCCTGCCAATTTAGCAGTAAATACAGGCAGATAAATAGGTACCACTTTGATGGGAAGATAACAGCGTTCCATGCAGCCTGCCATATGACCACATAAGGGTCTTTGGAAAATGCTGGCTCTTCAGCTGTGAATTGGAGAGAAGCATCACCTCCTAAAGTCAGACACAACTGGCAGGGGAAACCTTTACCCTTTTTTATGCCTAATAATCAGACTACAATATAGAATTTTTGTACGATGTATACTTATGAGACTGGCACAAACTGATAGTACTAATCAACTGTTACAGTAAAATTAAGAAAAGAATGCAAAGATGACTAAAAATCAGGCTTCTGCAAACAACAGGCATATTTCCACCAGCGTCATTTGTTAGTGAGATGAGCAGCATATAAATATAATAAATAAACAAACAAGCAAACGGACATAATATATCCAGTAAATTGGCCCAACTTCTAAATCTGTTAACAAATACCTGTTCAAATTTCCATCCATCAGACATAGTAGACACCATCTGGGTGAGTTCTTCTTCTTGGCACTGCAGAACTCGGTAAACATGCTTGACAGGTCCCTGGATTAAAAGAGGGAAACTAATAAGTTAAAAATCAGGATTGTACGTTCTCTAAATAATAGTATATTATTGAAATGATGGTAGTACTACTACTATTATATTAAGATGGAGGAGGCTCATAAAAACAAACATTTGTAAAAGTGTTTTTTTAAAAAGCATGCTTCTAGCCACCATAGTCGTTAAAAGCTAGAAAGGGAAAGTGGGATGTTTTTGTGAAAGACTTCAGAAACCAATAATATCTCATGAAGGAGAATTCCTATGACATGGCTCTTATGCCACAGGGAACACACAAGCCTACCGCATCAAATGGTAACATATGTTAGGACACAAGGGACACAATACATTTATTTTCTTTCTAATGTGAATTACTTGAGAAGTTCTGCTTTCATTGTCTCGTATTCGCTCTTTCACCAGCCTCACTAGAGATGCAATGTTGTAAAATTCAGCTTCTTCCAGGACACCTAGGAATAAGATGCAGAACATGGCTTCAGCATTTGTAAGAAGGAAAGGTTGCTATACATCTGTGTTAACTATAAAATCTCTTGATCAGAAAGCTTTCAGATCTGATCTTGCTGCATGTCTGGAACTGGGGAATATATACAATTTATAATTTAATTCAGGACATTCTGTATTTGAAGAGTTGGGTGCCACAACTCAGCTTTTTTATTGTCCAAAAGGCCACCAAGGAACGCCCAGAGATGTTGTGATGCTAATGTAAAGAGTCCAGCTGATTTTTTTCAGCTTGTGTTTCTAAAAATCTAAGAATGTGGATGGAAACACGAATCCTCTCAGAGACAGATCCTTAAGCTACCAAAATATTGAAAAATATGCTTTTCAGCCCTGTAGAGATTTTAAAGATGGGAACAAGAAGCATCCCAGAGGCAAAACTGCACTGATTATTTGATTATCTTAGTGCAAAGTTCTTTTTTTTTAATTAGCTTTATTTATCTTAACTTTTACAGCAAGAAGTAGAAAAAAGAAAAAAGAGGAAGAGAGGTAGATTTTAAAAAAATCAACAGGCAATATAACAGCAAAACAAAAACAAGGAGAAAACTGTACAGATATATATCGCATTTTCATTAAATGTCTAACCAGTTTCTGGTTTGTATGTTAAAATATCATGATATTTAACATTACAAAATGTCATAAAATCTATACCAAAGGATAAATTATTGAGTTATTTTTTTAAATGGGAGATAAAATTGCCTTTTTAAAAATACGTATTTCTTGAAACAAATCCTTAATATCAGAAATATTTTCCAATTACTCAAAATAATTCTTGCTGCCAAATTCTAAAGGCTCTCTAGTCTCCAACACTAAAGGCTGCAAATATGTCATATGGCAGCCAAATGACACTCACGAGCTGTGAATTTATTTAACTCAACAAATAATCTGGAAAACAACAAAATGATATCAAAAATTTTTGTTAGGTACAATTCAAACAAAACTGAATGAAGATCAAGAAACACCTTGTGAATAAAATTCCTTATGGCGATAACCTGGAAATTCAAGAAGTTTTCTCTTTTGATTCTCTTTATGAAAAGAAGCTTGTTTTTATAGGCTATGTTCCATTGGAAAGCAAATGCTAATATAATAGTCCCTAAAATAATGCTCTAAAGAAAGCACTATTAAGGATACTCCCTGCATGGTTATAAATACATGCCTATTTGAACAAGCTGATTTTGTACTGATTTTCCACAGTGCAATCTGAGTAACATAGACTTTCTAATATATTTTAAAGACAAACAGATCATGAAATCAATGAGATTAAATACACTTAATTCTGGGCTCAGGCAAGACCAACGTCTATTAATACTACTACCGTAATTAAATTTGTATGCTGCCCAACTCTCAGCAACTCTGGATGGAATTAAACATCCCTTACTTTCAAAAGAGATTTATACATTTGTCAAAGTTGTGTTTTTCTTACCTTCTTCTGCCAATTCCTTGTTTATTATGAGTTTTCCATGCCGGAGGTAGTTCAGGATTGGACCAAAGTATGTGGGATCCCTATCAATGAGATATGCCCCCGTTTCATCCTGTAAGGAGATATAATGTTATATCTGTTATACTCTGCTGCTAAAGAAAGATATTCCAGTGGCATTCAGACATTTGGACATGGAACCAACTGTCATGAATCTGAGAATATGGTTCTCTGAGAAAGGAGCCAAATTCTTGCATCAGTGGATATCTTCTACATTTGCTTGTGTTGTGATTCTGTGACATAATTATTTAAAAAAAATAGGTCATTGCCTATGTACTTTAGCTGTATCTAATTAACTAGAAAATTGTGTGTTTATTTATTTGGAATAACCTGCTCTTAATTATGTCACAAGCTTTTCCCCAAATTAAATTAATGCACAAGAAAAAATAAACATAATTGTACTGATTATTATTACTATATCCTTAGGAAAGATTTTTATCACTTGAGCTATAAATTACATCAGCATTTTTGGCAGCCTAAAAATATTCTTCACAAAGATAAATCCAGAACATTTATTTATTTTTATTTATTGGCTCAAACTTAAGAAAACTCATTAAAGCTACACATACTTTGCAATGTATCCTACTGAACTCAGTGGACCTACTTAGCTAATGATCTTGGAGAGACTGACCTCAAAACTCCATTAATGTAAACATGCAATCTGTAAGATTTTGTACAGCTTATTTCTTGTGAAAACAGTTGATCTCATGGGGACTTACTGAGTAAACATGCAAGAACTCTTATCACTTGGAAGTATAAAGACCACAAATCTGATAGCTCTCTATAAACTATTACAACTTTTTACTATTATCTAAAGCATTGTATTTAAAATTAAATTCTAAGGAACACAATTATGTAAGGTTTTTTATAGGACATTTAGAATCCACTGCACTGACATTATAAGTGATTTTATGCTAAAGCAACCACTCTAAATTATACTTTATCTTGGCACACAGCTTTAAGTACTGGAGAAAGAAGTTGCTTTGTATACAGATATTGATTTTTTAAAACCATTACTTATTTTATCGATGTAAAACTGAAAAGCTGTATGAGATAAAAAATTAGATCTCAATACAGTTTATAATTTATCGGGTCTGTGGGCAAGGAACTGAATATGCTTTTTGACAGCTCTGAATAAAATAAGAGCAAGGCTTCTTATAGAACAGCTTTTGGAAATAAGGCTGTGTTCCCCTTTCTAGTGCTTAGGGTTAAGGTATCTTTTTGACATCCATAACTTTAAATGAGTTTATGCTACTTTTCCCATATGTATGGTTAAGATTAATTTCAGCAAATATTATGGCTATATTGGCAACAAAAGCACTTGCTAAGAAGAGGTAAGATGGGATAAGAAAAGTAGAATGGGGGAGGCATTGAATTGGCAATCAGAATCCCTCCTCACTTCAACCCTTCCCGCGGAACAAGGAAAAATTAGCAAGTGGAACCAATGGGATTTTGGAGAGCTCTTAATAAATAAAGCTCTCCTCTACAAGCAATAAGGCTGAATTCAAATTTAATGCATTTGCATTCAATACTCTTGATTCTGAAAGATCTAAAAAAAATACATTATTTATGCATGTTATAAATACATAACATTTATAAATATGTGTATGCATTTTTTAAATAAACCATTTCTAATTACATTCATTACACCAAGATAAATAGACTAAATTCAAGTTATTTACTCACAATACCTTCATTGTTGAAATGTTTGATTACAGACTAATATTCACATTTAAGAAATAAGACTGGTTGAGAGGAAAGAGACAGTATTTTTAATAGTCTTCTGTATTCAAGCTAAGCCTAAACTTTAAATAGAATGCTAAACATCCTGATTTACAGCCATAATGATTAAACCAAGTTGTTACAAACCACATCATAGCTTAAATGCTGTGAGTGCAACCATATTAACATACTGTGTTCTATAAATCCGTATTGCTTATTAACAATGGCTCAGCATCTTCTGCAAACACCATCAATACAGAAAAGAATAGCACAGCAAATCAAGGATGTGTGTGTTTATGTGTGTGTGTGTGTGTCTATATGCGCAAAGAACCAATGCCCCATTTTTAGATACAGTCTAAAAGTGCCACTGGGCTGTACATCCCTTGTCCTCCTCTCCTGCGTTTTCATTAGAAGATACTTAAAGGCTAAAATCTATGGTTATGGTTAAAACTGGAGTTCTGCAAAGAACTTGGCCTGCTTCTAGAAATACGACTACTCAATTACACCAGACATGCAGGAGGGGCGGCTATGTAGTGAAAACTAAAGGCAGTCCTCGGCTTACAACCTCTCATTTAGTGACCATTCAAAATTAAACGGCACTGAAAAAAAGTGACTTATGACCATTTTTTCCCACAGTTACCACCTTTGCAGCATCCCCATGATCATGTGATCAAAATTCAGACGCTTGGCAACTGGTTCATACTTATGACCGCTGCAGCGTCCCAGGGGTCACGCGTTTTTCATTTTTGCGACCTTCTGACAAGCGAAGTCAATGGGGAAGGCAGATGCACTTAACAACCAGGTTTTTACTAACTTATCAACTGTGGTGATTCACTAATCAACCGTGGCAAGAAAGGTCGTAAAATGGAGTCAAATTGACTTAACAAATTTCTCACGTATAACAAGGTAACCTGGGGGATTGTGGTCGTAAATCGAGGACCACCGGGAGATGCCACGCCCGTCATCCTGGGTGTGGCGGCCTACAGGCAAAAGGGAGGGGGGCGATTTTAGGGCCCGGCGGCCGCCGCCACGCCCTCTCACCTTGTCCGAGCCTAGTTCGGGCCCTTCTTGGCAGCAGAGGCGGCAGAGGAACGACTTGGGCTCTCGGCAGAGGGTCTGGCGGGTGCTCACGAAGTAAGTGCCGCCCACGTTGAGCCGGACCCACTTGGAACCGCCGCCGCCGCCACTCCCCGCCGCGGCTTTCTCGGGCGGCGGAGGCTCCGGGCTGCGCGCGGGACAGGCGGGAGCCGCAGCTGGCCGAGGGCTCGGCGGCCCCGAGATCGGGAGCGGGCTGGGCGTGCGGCCTCGTGGCGGCCCCTCCCCAGCCACCAACTCCGCCATGCTCGGCTACGGCTTCTCCCCTAGGTGGGTGGGCGGACGGTAGTCCCTTTTTGTTGTTGTTGTTGTTTTGTTTTTAGTCAGCGGTCCGGGCGGAAAGGCTGCAGCTGCTCCGGTCGAGGCTCGATAGCCATCCCCTCAGTCCGCGCTGACAGGGAACGCCGGACTTCCGGGATGAAGAATCTCTTCCGGGTCATCCAGCGCTCTCCGAGTCGAATGACTGCGTTTGACCCCGGCTTCGTTCCAGGCGTTCCGCCCTTAAAGGGAATCGGAAGGAGTAAATCGGAGCAGTAGAGATGGAAATAACAGTCGGAAAGATGGTCGAGAGACACCGGAAGGAAATACATAGGCAGCCGTGCCATAAACCCCAAACTGTTTAGATCGGCGCTTCTTGATTTGCAGTGGACGATCCTAATTAATTTCTTAGTGGAACAAACACTTTTCGAAGCCAAAGGCCCCTTCTCTTTCGGAGGCGACGTTTAGAAACTGCCCTGCCAGTTTGCTTCATGGAGAAGAGAGAAAATCATTTTAATACAATTTGCACCGTCCTTTCGAGAGGGAAAAAGAGAACTTTACTATATACCTGCTGTGCAATCGCAGGGGCGGCGTTGGGGATTGGGGGTGGATAGAGGTGGCTAAAAAGATGGATTGGGTTTTGCAGAAGCCCTCCACAGAAGTTTTGGTTATTCCCCTTCCTCCCAATAGCATTTGCAACCTTTTCATATTATGATCTTACTTCTAATAAAACTTTCTTAAGAGCAATCGCTTACTAGTCGTCATCGATGAAATGTAACAGGGCAGAGACCCGATTTTGCGGCAGAAATTAAGAGTAGAAGATGGAGATTTGGTCGTGTCTAGAGATGATGGGTTGGGTAATATAAGCACACAGTTCTGCGAAGGCAGAAACAGAAGGCACAAGTAGTCCTTGATTTACAACAGTTCGGTTAGTGACTGTTCAAAGTGACAATGGCACTGAAAAATGTGACTTCTGACCGGTTTTCACACCACCTTTCCAGCATCCCCATGGTCATGTGATTATAATTCAGATACTTGGCAACTGGGTTCATATTTATGACCGTTGCTGTGCCGCAGGGGGTCATATGTGGCTTATCTTTTGCGACAACCTGACAAAGTCAATGGGGAAACCAGATTCACTTAAAAACTGGGTGGCTAATTTATGAACTGCAGTGATTCCCTTAGCAACTCTGGTAAGAAAAGGTCGCAAAAGGGGGCAAAACTCACTTAACAATAGAAATTTGGGGCTCAATTGTGGTAGAAGTCGAGGATTGCCTGTATTTTAAGGGGACTCGTGGGGATTACAGGTTTACTTGCCAAAGCACCTGGAGAGTCCAAAACTTCAATTTGCATTAAGGTTCAACCGCTTTGCCCCCTGAAGCCACCGCCACCTCCGAGCCTGCATGAAGGGAAGTTCGCCCCCATTGCCTTTGACTACTCCATTACGAAATAAATAAATAACTTTGTTCTCATTGTACGTGTATACCCCTACAACGAAATTCACTTACAACGAAATTCACTTAACACCCAAAGACCAGGTCCAACACACATAACAATCCCCAAACACACTCCCCACCCACCATAATTCCCCACCCCTAAACCACCCAAGCATCTACACAACAGACCAAGTTAATACGGTACTTTGCTTTGTCCCAAAGGTGCTTTTTTTTCCCCCCAAAAGGCACCTGGACTTTCTGATTTTTTTCTTGAAGACGTTTCGCTTCTCATCCAAGAAACTTCTTCAGCTGCAAATCAACTCTTCTCGGATGAGAAGCGAGACGTCTTCAAAGAAAAATGACAAAAGTCCAGTTGCCTCTTGGAAAAGCATCTTTGGGACAACCAGGACCTGGATGATGACTGAGAATCTCCATAGATGGGTAGTTTGCCTTTGCTCGCTGTCTAGAGCAGGGGGTCTCCAACCTTGGCAGCTTTATGACCTGCGGACTTCAACTCCCATAATTCCTCAGCCAGCTGAGGAATTCTGGGAGTTGGAGTCTACAGGACTTAACGTTGCCAAGGTTGGAGACGCCTGCTCTAGAGGAGAGCAGGCTGCGCTCTTGCCTTTTGCTCTCTCTAGGAGACGGCGAGGGCCGCCCTCTTTCCGGAGAGAGTCGTCCCGATTGGGCCCGTTGCTCTCTGTCAAGCTTTGGTTCCGGGAGCCTTTTCCGGCGGTGCAATTACCGGGGTGGCTGAAGGTGAGGATCCCGATGTCCTTTGGGAGGGTGGTTAGTCTTGCAATAATCCCTGCTTGTTAACCGGCTTTCCTCTTCGATCTTTTTGCCTGTAATGATTCTCGTTTCGTTCTGGCGCGGGTCGGGGTGGTTTGATGGCGCCTCCAAGGACAGACATTTGCTCTCCAGCATGGTTTCCACTTCGGCTAGGAAAATAGATGCTAAAATAAAGAAAAAAAAATTCTCTGGCTGTTTTGTTTGGAATAATTATGGGAAAAAAAATTATGAAAAAAATTATGAAAAAAACCCCACATTGCTTAATATCTTGGAGCAAACGATCCTGTTAGTATCAGCTTTTTAAAAAGCTAGAGGTCTTTTAAAAAAAATGGAATTGAAGCTGCATGATTTTGAAACATCTCCAACCAATTTTTTTGTGTTTTTTTTTTCCTTCGAGTCATTGTTGACTTTTGGCGACTTGGCCAGAGATTCCAGAAGTGGTTTGCTGTTGCTTCCTTCCCAGGGCAGAGAGAAAGTTGACTGGGCTCCCCTACCTAAAAAGTGGGACTAGAACTCACACAGTTTCCTGGTTTCTAGCCTGATGCCTGAACCACTATTACACCAAACACCAGATTTACTTCTGAATAAATCTATGTTGTATTTTAGTTCTTGATTTCATATGGTTGAACATTTCTGTTTAAAAATTGTCCATTGTCTGCTTCCTTCATACCTCACTTGCTATGTTATTTTCTTGTCTATTTTCTTTCTTCCTTACCCTCTGTCTCTTTCCATTTTCTAGGTGATAGCAATGGCTGGCCGCAAGGTTGCTCTGAAAGCAATAGATTGGGCAGCATTTGCTGAACGAGTACCAATTAATCAGAAATCTCTGTTTAATGCTTTAAAATCACGTAGCGACGCTATTGCAGCCAAGTGAGTATATTTCTTCGTTTGTAAAGAGCACCATGGAAAGAAAAGGAGTGATATTAAACCAAATATCTTTGTGATTGGTGGATGAATCAATGGCATTATTTGGATTACATTATTAAATACATGTTGCTGAACTGTTCATTTGCTTCTTATATAGGTGCAATAAAAGACATACTTTTAAGGCAGAGATTTATTGAAATGGGCATGCTTTCAGATCTAGTAAAATCTTTAGGCAGAACTGTTCCTTTGATTTTAGTATTAAATTAAATTTAAATAAAGAGTTAAATAGCTAAATAACAAGACTATATTGATTGCCTCTCAGTCATTGTTAGTAAATATGATTACACCAGGTATGGGAAATTTTGGTACAGACAGTAATCCATCCCACAGATCTTTAAATATAACATTCTTTGTTATCAAGTTTTTATCTTGATAGCAAAGACAATATCCAGACATTTGTTTGACTTTTCTTGTTGTGAAAATCAAGAATGAAAAATGACGTTAGAAGAAGGAATAGTCTGAAGCATCCAGTAGTTTTGATGTTCTTTTATGTATCTAAATAGGCTTGCGTCTTTGCCAGAGACACCACCAGCCATTGACTGGACTTTCTACAAGACTACAGTTGCGAACCCTGCCCTAGTGGATGAATTTGAAAAGAAGGTGAGGCACTTTTAAATTTTTGGGTGTTTGAGGTGTATTCTATTGGATGCAGAAGAGATTGGAAGTTCATAAACACCAATAAAAATGCAATAAAACTTTCACAATAAAAAGATGAAAAACGAAAGACTATACAGTGTTACTCAAGTTGATAGCACCAATTCATCCCTCTCAACTACTTTGAAATACCCCCATTGCTTTTTTTTAACAATTTAGAGAAAGCAAGTAGAGGGGGGAGCAAATCAAATCTCTGGGAGGATACTATTCCAAAGAGCTTCCACAGAGATGTGGCTATGAGCCTTCATATTTCTCACCTGGCAAAAGTTGGGACTTACAAGCAGGTTCTTTGGAGATGTTCAAGTCTGGCAGTTCAATATTGGGTGGAAAAAGTGCTTCTATAAGTATTCTCATCCCAAGTTACGTAGTACTGTGAATTGTACTCAGGAGCTAATGGGAAACTAGTTCACAGTCTAAAGCACAGTACTGCACTCATGTCAAAGCCTAAAGCAAAGTACTGTACTCATATCAAGGAACTGTCAGCACCAAGCCACTGAAGCTTTCAAGGATATTCAGACGTAAATTTGTGTGTAAAGTGGGGTGTAGCTATTTAGATAAGAGGATGTGGCCATGAATCACTATTGCAAGATCTTGTTCTAAGTAGGGATGCAGCTACTGTAGCAGCTGAAGCTAGGCAAAGGCTCTACTCATCATGGCTTCCGAGTAGTAGTTGGGAAGACTCTGCTTACCTAGAATTCTGATCATGTATGGTCCTCACTTATTGACTGGTTAGTCTCTGGGTTATCACAGTAATCGGGACCGCCAAGATTGCCATCACTAAGCAATGTGGTGATATGATGTCATGCTTAAGGACTGAATCACTTAATGATAGAAATTCTGGTCCCAAAAGCTGTTGTAAACCTAGGACTACTTGTACCAATATTCAGGTCATAACAATGGTAATCCAGAAGAGTGACCTATACTGTCTTAATATCGTACCTTGATCTAAAACCTCACAGAAAAAGGTCCTCAAGGGTGCTCTGTTGGTATATCTTGACTAGAATCTCAATAATCTTCTCTAAAAAAGTAATATTAGACATAGGGCAATAGTTGTCAAATGTAGCCTTTTCGAGTATGCCAGCACCACCCTCTTCCTAAGACACACATTGACACATTGACCTCCTCTCAATTTCCGAAAGAAGCTAGAGGGGCGATAGTCAGGTGCTCATGTGGGGCGTGGCAGATGAGAGTACCCTATCCATTTTAATAGCATTCAGGAGCCAGGAGTCCACATAACATGACATAACATTGCTGCAGTCATCTCAGGGAATTTTCCCTATGAAGAGCCAAGATTTATGCAAATCTGAGCAATTTCATTGGCAAAGTGTTGGGCTAATTGGTCACACAGCCAGGCAGAGATC